TGTCTCCAGTGCCTTCCGTGGCCGAGTCTGAGGGAAACCTTATGGTTTTGTCTCCAGTGCCTTCCGTGGCCGAGTCTGAGGGAAACCTTATGGTTTTGTCTCCAGTGCTTTCCGTGGCCGAGTCTGAGGGAAACCTTATGGTTGTGTCTTCAGGGCCTTCTGTGGGCGAGTTCGAGTCCTAGGGAAACCTTATGGTTGTGTCTCCAGTGCTTTCCGTGGCCGAGTCTGAGGGAAACCTTATGGTTGTGTCTTCAGGGCCTTCTGTGGGCGAGTTCGAGTCCTAGGGAAACCTTATGGTTGTGTCTCCAGTGCCTTCCGTGGCCGAGTTCGAGTCCTAGGGAAATCTTATGGTTGTGTCTCCAGTGCTTTCTGTGGCCGAGTCTGAGGGAAACCTTATGGTTGTGTCTTCAGTGCTTTCTGTGGCCGAGTCTGAGGGAAAACTTGTGGTTTAGTCTTCATATACGAAGGCGCGGGGTTCTGAGTGGGGTATTCGTGTTAAACTGTGACATAATATCTCAGTGGGCTAGCACTATAAAATCGGCATCAGTCCGAACAAGTACAAGAACACACACACACACACACACACACACACACACACACACACACACACACACACACACACACACACACACACACACACACACACACACACACACACACACACACACACACACACACACACACACACACACACACACACACACATATTCGTGCATTCACGTCGCTATATAAGTGCAATGATCATGGACGCGACGTTTAACCCCATTTCACCTCACCTTTTTAAGGGCAATTCAATTTTCCAGTCTGGATTGAAGAACTATATAATTTGTATTATGTATGCTTTTATGTACTGTCAATGTCCAAATCATGTATATTCCATATTTACTCTTTGTGATTTCTCTGTTGGAATCCATCTTCTGAAAAAATATTGATTTTATCGTAAGTTCTGGGCCAGACTTCATATTAAATTCATTATTAGTTCTACCCTTTGTAGCTATTTGTGATGACGTGTACTTTAATGTGTAGATTTTGCAACATCGCCGCAAACATTTATTTGACTTGTGTAAGATGTGGGGCGTCTTGGGGTTAGTATGCAACACGCGTGATACTTCTGATTACGAATGGCTTAAATATGGAATAAACAGTCTACAATCACGCCACCTATGATACCATGTTTTAGAATGCTTCACATGCAGTCGTCATATTGCTGATAGCACAGTGAAACATACACAAACTAGAAAACAAATGTGCTTGTTTTAGTTTCCATTCCCACAGCTTAATAGCATTCCGGGAGATGTACTTGTTTTCGATCAATTAAAGTGTTATTTTTGTTGAATCTCAAAGGCTTCAACACTCAAGACCTTCAATATTTCCACATTTTCGGGTGACACGGGGTCAAGGGTGGTCGTCGCTGCAATTCGCTGTTCAGAGTTACCTCCCTTGATCGGGGGTTCGAATCCCGGCTCGCACCGATTATATTTATAGGTTGTCAGCATCATACCCGTGCACGTGGGTTTCACTAAAGTGGTAAACGTCTGAGACCTGCATCACTTTGGGTTTCCTCCCACATTAAGCTGACTGATCGTGACATAACTGGAATACTGTCAAAAGCGGCGTTAAAACCCCAACTCCCCCACTCCTCATTTTCAGGGGACCGCCTCCGTGTTCTTGTGGTAGAGCGTCCGCCCGGAGAGCGGGAGGTCAGGGAAGGTCAGGGGTCACACACTCACTCACTCACTCACTCACTCATTCACCCACACACACACACACTCATACACACACACACACACACACACACACACACACGTCCATGCACGTCGCTATATAAGTGCAATAATCTTGGACGCGACGTTAAACCCCATTTTACCTCACCTCACTTCATTTTCAGGGCTAGTGGATAAAACTAGAGCCCAGTTACAGTTTGCCTATCGCCGCGATTCGCTTTGCAGAGTTGCGTCCCTTGGGCACGCCAGAAACCTATGATTGTGGGGTCGAATCCCGGTTCGCCCCGATCATGTTTCTAGGTTTTGCAGCACCATACCCGTGCTCGTGTGTTTGACCAAAACGTAAAACGTCTGAGACCTGCATCACTTCGGGCTTTCCTCGCCCCGATATAACTGGAATATTAAATCCAACTCACTCACTCGCTGTTTTCACTCCAGCTTGATAACAGTGTAAGGATCTACATCGAAACGTCGCTATATGCAATAAACCAGAAGTTGTTATCCATAAAGTTGTACGTTTTCTTACAATGTCTCCATCACTCTATTGTCATCTCATGGGAGCCCGTGTCCATCATTGATTTCTTTGTCAAACCATGGGGGACTGTATTCGAAATAAGTTTTAAATTTCACATGGATCCTCATGGACCACAATATATGTACGTCTCGATTTATCTGCCACAATAAGCTGCAGTGTTTTTGTTGTTGTTTTTTGTTATTGTTTAAATGAGGCCTGAAGAGTTTAGCCATGGCCTGCAGCTTCTGAAGGTTGTGGGTCTTGATGGCAGCCTGGCATTTTTTTCTTCCGAAAAATGCATGAGGACCCAGAACAGAATATGTGCCTGTCACTCTACTGCTTGTCAACCGGTAGGGATCCGGGTTAGAATGTGACTCCATCACTTTGGTGTGTTTGTCAAGCCATGGTAGCCCGCGTTAGGATAGGTCCCCATTACTCGCCACCCCATTGTGACCTCGGTTAGGATAGGTCACCATTTTTCCATTACTCGTCATCCCATTGTGACCTCGGTTAGAATAGGTCCCCATTATTCCATTACTCGTCACCCCATTGTGACCTCGGTTAGGATAGGTCACCATTATTCCATTACTCGTCACCCCATTGTGACCTCAGTTAGAATAGGTCACCATTATTCCATTACTCGTCACCACATTGTGACCTCGGTTAGAATAGGTCCCCATTACTCGTCACCCCATTGTGACCTCGGTTAGGATAGGTCACCATTTTTCCATTACTCGTCATCCCATTGTGACCTCGGTTAGGATAGGCCCCTATTATTCCATTACTCGTCACCCCATTGTGACCTCGGTTAGGATAGGCCCCTTTTATTCCATTACTCGTCACCCAATTGTGACCTCGGTTAGGATAGGTCCCCATTACTCGTCACTCCATTGTGACCTCGGTTAGGATAGGTCCCCATTATTCCCCTACTCGTCACCCCATTGTGACCTCGGTTAGGATAGGTCCCCATTACTCGACATCCCATTGTGGTCTCGGTTAGGATAGGTCCCCATTACTTCATTGCTTGTCACTTCAATGGGACCCGGGTCAGAATGGGTCCTCGTCAGTTTATTGCTTGTCCATCGATCGGGACCAGGGTTAGAATATGTCTCCATTATGCCATTGCTTGTTAACCCATGGGGACCCGGGTCAGAATGGGTCCTCGTCAATGTATTGCTTGTCACAACCTGCAGTCCGTGTTAGAGTACCACAACCACCGCTACCCATCACTCTACAGCATGTGACCCTATTGGGACCTGGGTTAGAACAGGTCTCCATTCCTCTATTGCATGTCACCTCTTCGGGTGAGCATTTCCTTGGACGAGGAAACATTATAACATGTCAAATGCCTCAATACGTTATCTATAACTTCGTATTTTAAGCGTATACATGCAATGCTATATATATGGCAGAGAAATGTATTTTTATACATTGTTTGAATTCATTACATTGTTTCTGTTGAGTTCATAACATTGTGTTTCAACAATAACTAGTTCTCAGAAAAATATTACTGTCTAGTGTAAGCAGTGAGGAGCTATAGACTTATCCAGAATGGTATGGAACTTTCTAGAAGCTATTTAGACAATACTAGACAGTATTTAGACAAGTGGGCAAGCGCATGCCTCTGCCATCTCACATTACATCTCACATTACACCAATACTGTGAAGATCATAATTTCACCCTGGGTATCCAGCATGGGCCTATTTTAGAAGCTTGACCACATTTGCTTCTGGATGAATATTATTGTCTCTGACAAAAATGTTTTTGTTATTTGTCTATTTTTCACACTATACTATCGATAAGCAGGAATATGAGAAGATTTTGCACACTCAAACTATTTGCTGGGTTGTGTACGAGTCGACAATGTATTCAGAAAACGACAATTAAGCAGGAGCTGGACTGCCTATGGACGTTTTCTGAATACATTGTCGACAATATATGTTTTCATAGACATCCGTGTTATCGCTTTCCGTCAAATGTGTGTCGTTTACGGCGTCATTAGGCACGACCAGTCCCATTTTATAACTGAAATGCAAAATCGTTTTTATTTATTTATTTATTTATTTATTTATTTATTTATTTATTTATTTATTTATTTATTTATTCATTCATTCATTCATATTTATTTATTTATTTATTTATTTATTTATTTATTCATTCATATTTATTCATTCATATTTATTTATTTATTTATTTATTTATTTATTTGTTTATTTATTTAGTTAGTTATTTCTTTATTTTGCATTCATTCATTCATTCATTCATTCATGCATTCATTCATTCATTCATTTATTTATTTATTTATTTATTTATCACATGAGTTTAATCCGTTTCTTAATCTCATCTATCCACAGTAAGAATTATTCTCAATGTATACATTTCATGGATAATTGTTTCCGTGTTCATGATTCTTTCTGTCTTCATGTCGGAATATTATTTCGAATGGAGGAATGTTTCTCCAGGTGGTATTCCATTCCTCCGAAAAGCTTTCCCAGCGGAACGTTTCATCGCTTACTTTTACAGACGACCACTCATGAATATTGTAGACCATTGTAGGTTTAAGGGCACAACACACGTCAGTGACGAAGCAGGCCATGATATATGCTCTTAGACTCACGCTTAGTTTCTGAAAATACATAATTTTGATTTTGATAAAAAAAAAAACTCCATATAAACTGAAAAGTATCCCGAGTGAGATTGGCGATTCAGAACCTGTGTAAAGTTTAGGCTAACTTCATTTAGGTCATTAAGAGAAAGTAATATGGTTCAGGGACTGTGAGACAGAGCATAGAGGACTCCAATTCACGTGGAACCTGCTTAAAGATTATACAACGTCACTGAAATAATACTGTAATGTACTGTCATCGATCGATAATGTGAGTAGGTCGGCGATCGGACCAATTTTCTCCCGAAAAACTTAAAATATAACAACATTTATTTAGATTCTACATGTATAACATCCAGTCGTAAAGTAATACAGACTACTTTGATTAATTTACACTAAGTATTTTTAATTTTTTACGCATGCAGTTTGAATCATCGTCCACGATCAGTGTTACATAGATCTACATGTCCCATGCCACTGTGAAATAATTGCGCCACTGTTCCATTCACTACCATCATTACGTAATGTGAACCTCAGCAAGGAATATCTGTACACCGCTCTTTCCTACACCCCGGGGTCAGTTTCTTGGACCCCGATGACAGCGGTATATCGAGGGATCACTGTATTACAACGGTACCATTCTAGGCAGACATCGTCACTTCCACTTCTATGTCTAAGTATGAACACAAACTACATGCGATAACCTGGTCTCGGCATTGTTTCAATTGTGTTTAGACACAGTGTTTTGTGTTTGTTGTTCAACGCTGCATATTGCAATTTTGCATCTTTATGACAGCGGTCTGTAAATTGTTGAATCTGGACCAAACAAACTAGTGATTAATACTAGCAACGCCCCACGAATATTCGTTCCTGACATGCCTGCAGGACAAAACAAGATTCACTGAACGTGCTAACTGGACATGATTCACTAGACGTGCTAACTGGACATGAGTCACCAGACGTGCTAACTGGACAAGATTCATTGGACGTGCTGACTGGACAAGATTCACTGAACGTGCTGACTGGACATGATTCACTAGACGTGCTAACTGGACATGAGTCACTAGACGTGCTGACTGGACATGATTCACTAGACGTGCTGACTGGACATGATTCACTAGACGTGCTGACTGGACAAGATTCACTAGACGTGCTGACTGGACATGATTCACTAGACGTGCTGACTGGACAAGATTCACTAGACGTGCTGACTGGACAAGATTCACTAGACGTGCTGACTGAACAAGATTCATTGGACGTGCTAACTGGACATGATTCACTAGACGTGCTGACTGGACATGATTCACTAGACGTGCTGACTGGACAAGATTCACTAAACGTGCTGACTGGACAAGATTCACTAGACGTGCTGACTCGACAAGATTCACTAAACGTGCTGACTGGACAAGATTCACTAGACGTGCTGACTGGACAAGATTCACTGAACGTGCTGACTGGACATGATTCACTAGACGTGCTGACTGGACAAGATTCATTGGTCGTGCTGACTGGACAAGATTCACTGAACGTGCTGACTGGACAAGATTCATTGGACGTGCTAACTGGACAAGATTCACTAGACGTGCTGACTGGACAAGATTCACTAGACGTGCTGACTGGACATGATTCACTAGACGTGCTGACTGGACAAGATTCACTAAACGTGCTGACTGGTCAAGATTCACTAGACGTGCTAACTGGACATGATTCACTAGACGTGCTTACTGGACAAGATTCATTGGACGTGCTGACTGGAGAAGATTCACTAGACGTGCTGACTCGACAAGATTCACTAAACGTGCTGACTGGACAAGATTCACTGAACGTGCTGACTGGACAAGATTCACTGAACGTGCTGACTGGACATGATTCACTAGACGTGCTGACTGGACAAGATTCACTAGACGTGCTGACTGGAAATGACGTGCTGACTGGACAAGATTCACTAGACGTGCTGACTGGTCAAGATTCACTAGACGTGCTGACTGGACATGATTCACTAGACGTGCTTACTGGACAAGATTCATTGGACGTGCTGACTGGACAAGATCACTAGACGTGCTGACTGGACAAGATTCATTGGACGTGCTGACTGGACAAGATTCACTGAACGTGCTGACTGGACATGATTCACTAGACGTGCTGACTGGACATGATTCACTAGACGTGCTGACTGGACAAGATTCACTAGACGTGCTGACTGGACAAGATTCACTAGACGTGCTGACTGGACATGATTCACTAGACGTGCTGACTGGACAAGATTCATTGGACGTGCTAACTGGACAAGATTCACTAGACGTGCTGACTGGACAAGATTCACTAGACGTGCTGACCGGACATAATTCACTAGACGTGCTGACTGGACAAGATTCACTAAACGTGCTGACTGGTCAAGATTCACTAGACGTGCTGACTGGACATGATTCACTAGACGTGCTTACTGGACAAGATTCATTGGACGTGCTAACTGGACAAGATTCACTAGACGTGCTGACTGGACAAGATTCACTAGACGTGCTGACTGGACAAGATTCACTAGAAGTGCTGACTGGACAAGATTCACTAAACGTGCTGACTGGTCAAGATTCACTAGACGTGCTAACTGGACATGATTCACTAGACGTGCTTACTGGACAAGATTCATTGGACGTGCTGACTGGACAAGATTCACTAAACGTGCTGACTGGACAAGATTCATTGGACGTGCTGACTGGACATGATTCACTGAACGTGCTGACTGGACAAGATTCACTAAACGTGCTGACTGGTCAAGATTCACTAGACGTGCTGACTGGACATGATTCACTAGACGTGCTTACTGGACAAGATTCATTGGACGTGCTGACTGGACAAGATCACTAGACGTGCTGACTGGACAAGATTCATTGGACGTGCTGACTGGACAAGATTCACTGAACGTGCTGACTGGACAAGATTCACTAGACGTGCTGACTGGACATGATTCACTAGACGTGCTTACTGGACAAGATTCACTAGACGTGCTGACTGGACAAGATTCACTAGACGTGCTGACTGGACATGATTCACTAGACGTGCTGACTGGACAAGATTCATTGGACGTGCTAACTGGACAAGATTCACTAGACGTGCTGACTGGACAAGATTCACTAGACGTGCTGACTGGACATAATTCACTAGACGTGCTGACTGGACAAGATTCACTAAACGTGCTGACTGGTCAAGATTCACTAGACGTGCTGACTGGACATGATTCACTTAACGTGCTTACTGGACAAGATTCATTGGACGTGCTGACTGGACAAGATTCACTAGACGTGCTAACTGGACAAGATTCATTGGACGTGCTGACTGGACAAGATTCACTGAACGTGCTGACTGGACATGATTCACTAGAAGTGCTGACTGGACATGATTCACTAGACGTGCTGACTGGACAAGATTCACTAGACGTGCTGACTGGACAAGATTCATTGGACGTGCTAACTGGACAAGATTCACTGAACGTGCTAACTGGACAAGATTCACTGAACGTGCTGACTGGACAAGATTCACTGAACGTGTTGACTGGACAAGATTCATTGGACGTGCTAACTGGACAAGATTCACTGAACGTGCTGACTGGACAGGATTCACTAGACGTGCTGACTGGACAAGATTCATTGGACGTGCTAACTGGACAAGATTCACTGAACGTGCTAACTGGACAAGATTCACTGGACGTGCTGACTGGAGAAGATTCACTAGACGTGCTGACTTGACAAGATTCATTGGACGTGCTAACTGGACAAGATTCACTGAACGTGCTGACTGGACAGGATTCACTAGACGTGCTGACTGGACAAGATTCACTAGACGTGCTGACTGGACATGATTCACTAGACGTGCTGACTGGACAAGATTCATTGGACGTGCTAACTGGACAAGATTCACTAGACGTGCTGACTGGACAAGATTCACTAGACGTGCTGACCGGACATAATTCACTAGACGTGCTGACTGGACAAGATTCACTAAACGTGCTGACTGGTCAAGATTCACTAGACGTGCTGACTGGACATGATTCACTAGACGTGCTTACTGGACAAGATTCATTGGACGTGCTAACTGGACAAGATTCACTAGACGTGCTGACTGGACAAGATTCACTAGACGTGCTGACTGGACAAGATTCACTAGAAGTGCTGACTGGACAAGATTCACTAAACGTGCTGACTGGTCAAGATTCACTAGACGTGCTAACTGGACATGATTCACTAGACGTGCTTACTGGACAAGATTCATTGGACGTGCTGACTGGACAAGATTCACTAAACGTGCTGACTGGACAAGATTCATTGGACGTGCTGACTGGACATGATTCACTGAACGTGCTGACTGGACAAGATTCACTAAACGTGCTGACTGGTCAAGATTCACTAGAGGTGCTGACTGGACATGATTCACTAGACGTGCTTACTGGACAAGATTCATTGGACGTGCTGACTGGACAAGATCACTAGACGTGCTGACTGGACAAGATTCATTGGACGTGCTGACTGGACAAGATTCACTGAACGTGCTGACTGGACAAGATTCACTAGACGTGCTGACTGGACATGATTCACTAGACGTGCTTACTGGACAAGATTCACTAGACGTGCTGACTGGACAAGATTCACTAGACGTGCTGACTGGACATGATTCACTAGACGTGCTGACTGGACAAGATTCATTGGACGTGCTAACTGGACAAGATTCACTAGACGTGCTGACTGGACAAGATTCACTAGACGTGCTGACTGGACATAATTCACTAGACGTGCTGACTGGACAAGATTCACTAAACGTGCTGACTGGTCAAGATTCACTAGACGTGCTGACTGGACATGATTCACTAAACGTGCTTACTGGACAAGATTCATTGGACGTGCTGACTGGACAAGATTCACTAGACGTGCTAACTGGACAAGATTCATTGGACGTGCTGACTGGACAAGATTCACTGAACGTGCTGACTGGACATGATTCACTTGAAGTGCTGACTGGACATGATTCACTAGACGTGCTGACTGGACAAGATTCACTAGACGTGCTGACTGGACAAGATTCATTGGACGTGCTAACTGGACAAGATTCACTGAACGTGCTAACTGGACAAGATTCACTGAACGTGCTGACTGGACAAGATTCACTGAACGTGTTGACTGGACAAGATTCATTGGACGTGCTAACTGGACAAGATTCACTGAACGTGCTGACTGGACAGGATTCACTAGACGTGCTGACTGGACAAGATTCACTAAACGTGCTGACTGGTCAAGATTCACTAGACGTGCTGACTGGACATGATTCACTTAACGTGCTTACTGGACAAGATTCATTGGACGTGCTGACTGGACAAGATTCACTAGACGTGCTAACTGGACAAGATTCATTGGACGTGCTGACTGGACAAGATTCACTGAACGTGCTGACTGGACATGATTCACTAGAAGTGCTGACTGGACATGATTCACTAGACGTGCTGACTGGACAAGATTCACTAGACGTGCTGACTGGACAAGATTCATTGGACGTGCTAACTGGACAAGATTCACTGAACGTGCTAACTGGACAAGATTCACTGAACGTGCTGACTGGACAAGATTCACTGAACGTGTTGACTGGACAAGATTCATTGGACGTGCTAACTGGACAAGATTCACTGAACGTGCTGACTGGACAGGATTCACTAGACGTGCTGACTGGACAAGATTCATTGGACGTGCTAACTGGACAAGATTCACTGAACGTGCTAACTGGACAAGATTCACTGGACGTGCTGACTGGAGAAGATTCACTAGACGTGCTGACTTGACAAGATTCATTGGACGTGCTAACTGGACAAGATTCACTGAACGTGCTGACTGGACAGGATTCACTAGACGTGCTGACTGGACAAGATTCACTAGACGTGCTGACTGGACATGATTCACTAGACGTGCTGACTGGACAAGATTCATTGGACGTGCTAACTGGACAAGATTCACTAGACGTGCTGACTGGACAAGATTCACTAGACGTGCTGACCGGACATAATTCACTAGACGTGCTGACTGGACAAGATTCACTAAACGTGCTGACTGGTCAAGATTCACTAGACGTGCTGACTGGACATGATTCACTAGACGTGCTTACTGGACAAGATTCATTGGACGTGCTAACTGGACAAGATTCACTAGACGTGCTGACTGGACAAGATTCACTAGACGTGCTGACTGGACAAGATTCACTAGAAGTGCTGACTGGACAAGATTCACTAAACGTGCTGACTGGTCAAGATTCACTAGACGTGCTAACTGGACATGATTCACTAGACGTGCTTACTGGACAAGATTCATTGGACGTGCTGACTGGACAAGATTCACTAAACGTGCTGACTGGACAAGATTCATTGGACGTGCTGACTGGACATGATTCACTGAACGTGCTGACTGGACAAGATTCACTAAACGTGCTGACTGGTCAAGATTCACTAGAGGTGCTGACTGGACATGATTCACTAGACGTGCTTACTGGACAAGATTCATTGGACGTGCTGACTGGACAAGATCACTAGACGTGCTGACTGGACAAGATTCATTGGACGTGCTGACTGGACAAGATTCACTGAACGTGCTGACTGGACAAGATTCACTAGACGTGCTGACTGGACATGATTCACTAGACGTGCTTACTGGACAAGATTCACTAGACGTGCTGACTGGACAAGATTCACTAGACGTGCTGACTGGACATGATTCACTAGACGTGCTGACTGGACAAGATTCATTGGACGTGCTAACTGGACAAGATTCACTAGACGTGCTGACTGGACAAGATTCACTAGACGTGCTGACTGGACATAATTCACTAGACGTGCTGACTGGACAAGATTCACTAAACGTGCTGACTGGTCAAGATTCACTAGACGTGCTGACTGGACATGATTCACTAAACGTGCTTACTGGACAAGATTCATTGGACGTGCTGACTGGACAAGATTCACTAGACGTGCTAACTGGACAAGATTCATTGGACGTGCTGACTGGACAAGATTCACTGAACGTGCTGACTGGACATGATTCACTTGAAGTGCTGACTGGACATGATTCACTAGACGTGCTGACTGGACAAGATTCACTAGACGTGCTGACTGGACAAGATTCATTGGACGTGCTAACTGGACAAGATTCACTGAACGTGCTAACTGGACAAGATTCACTGAACGTGCTGACTGGACAAGATTCACTGAACGTGTTGACTGGACAAGATTCATTGGACGTGCTAACTGGACAAGATTCACTGAACGTGCTGACTGGACAGGATTCACTAGACGTGCTGACTGGACAAGATTCATTGGACGTGCTAACTGGACAAGATTCACTGAACGTGCTAACTGGACAAGATTCACTGGACGTGCTGACTGGAGAAGATTCACTAGACGTGCTGACTTGACAAGATTCATTGGACGTGCTAACTGGACAAGATTCACTGAACGTGCTGACTGGACAGGATTCACTAGACGTGCTGACTGGACAAGATTCATTGGACGTGCTAACTGGACAAGATTCACTGAACGTGCTAACTGGACAAGATTCACTGGACGTGCTGACTGGAGAAGATTCACTAGACGTGCTGACTTGACAAGATTCATTGGACGTGCTAACTGGACAAGATTCACTGAACGTGCTGACTGGACAGGATTCACTAGACGTGCTGACTGGACAAGATTCATTGGACGTGCTAACTGGACAAGATTCACTGAACGTGCTAACTGGACAAGATTCACTGGACGTGCTGACTGGAGAAGATTCACTAGACGTGCTGACTGGACATGGTTGTATGTTCAACATAGGTTGTTATTCAGTTCCCAGAATCTACCACGGGGTATAATCTAGGAGCTCCAAGAATCTACTCCAGCCCTGTTTGATTTACTCATTTTTATTTCATGAATGTACATGAAGTTTTCTTTTTGGGGGATGCATCTACCTGATTAAGTTTACATAAATGCCTATTCAGTACACAATTAGTTTTAAAACATTCATATCCTGTTATTTAAATTGAGAAGACAAAGTTGGGAGCACCAGTTTTTTTCAAAACAGAAATCATAATTATAATGAGAATGTACATGAATGTACATAAAGTTTTCTTTTGGGGGATGCATCTAACTCAGTCTTGATCTCTCCTGGTCAATTGCTGTAACAACATTGTCATCTGATTAAGTTTACATAAATGCCTATTCGGTACACAGCTAATTAGTTTTAAAACATTCATATTCTGTTATTTAAATTGAGAAGACATTTGAATAGGTTATACACATGCATATATAAATGCAAAGGTACCGATTTTATCCACTTTTATATATGGATGATCAAGTTTATGACGACGTCTTTTACCTGACCACAGCTATCCAGAGGAGATCTACAAGCTCAAGCTAACAGAGTGATAAATTTCCTGTGACAATGGAATAATTCATGGAATCATGTTAGTTTTTTTCTATGTGTTATTGGTAATAATATAAAAACTCCGACTAAGACAATAACAATTGCTTCGTGGAATTAATTACACCCATCTGGCTATATTAAGAAGAATAAGAATGTAAGTGGACAAATAATTAGATGCTTTTAATGATGTGATGTCTTCTATAGAATATATTCTTGATACTGTGATACATGCCTCCCCAAACAAAGGTACTTACAGACACAAGTGCATCCTTATAATTGGTTTTAAAATGATTTTATATGCAATCATGACACTGTAGCCATGGTTACGTACCGGGAACACCAGGAACTCACCCACCTTCGGTAGTCATGCACTACGCAGGCAACACATCGGCGGAGTCACACTGTAGCCATGGTTACATACCGGGAACACCATGAACTCACCCACCTTCGGTAGTCATGCACTACGCAGGCAACACATCGGCGGAGTCACACTGTAGCCATGGTTACATACCGGAACACCAGGAACTCACCCACCTTCGGTAGTCATGCACTACGCAGGCAACACATCGGCGGAGTCACACTGTAGCCATGGTTACATACCGGGAACACAAGGAACTCACCCACCTTCGGTAGTCATGCACTACGCAGGCAACACATCGGCGGAGTCACACTGTAGCCATGGTTACATACCGGGAACACCAGGAACTCACCCACCTTCCATAGTCCGGCTTCGATCCAAACAAGGCATCAGGACGTCCTGTTAATATGGATGAGAGATCAATGACATCCATTTATTATGTATTATGTCATGGAGAAATCATAAGGATCTCTGTATTCAACAGATTAATATTCCGGTGATTTCTCTGACTTAAACCATGTTAGGAGCCGAACATTTGATATTCAGGGGACGGGGTGGGGGGCCTGGGATTTTGACGAAAAAAATAAATTCTCCCCGACAATTCTTGAAAAAAAGATTATGCTACATATTGTTGGGAAAAGACATTATCTGCAAAAAACAATACATTGTCGGAATGTATTTTGTAGAAAAATATTTTGGCTGAAAGTTTTCATGAAAACCATATATCTGGTTTTGCAGCTATCGCTCCAGACCCCAATCCCGAGCCCGCCGCCCACAGCCCCCAGGCCACCACCCACAGCCCCCACCTGGTTTAGTTTAACTTGTTTAAACTGCATGTTTATAATGGTCAGTGACAATATCGTAACGTAATAACTGTTTTACTTTCAATCAAATATAGTGCGGTGTTAGAGGGGCCGGAGTTGGAGATTGTCCGGGCTAGATTATGCATGTTAGTTAGCCGGACCTACCCGTAAAGATCCGGGTTAGAATAGGTCTTCAGCAACCCATGCTTGCTGTAAAAGGCGATGTGGTAAGAGGCGACTAACGGGATCGGGTGATCAGGCTAACTGACGTGGTTGATGCATGTCATCGTATCCCAATTGCGTGGATCGATGCTCATGATGTCAATCACTGAATTTTCTGGTCCAGACTCGATTATCTACAGACCGCCGTCATATTGCTGGAATATTGCTGAGTGCGGCATTAAACAACAAACAGACAACAGAGTTAGCCGGACCTCCTGTCACGGTCGACAGATAGTCAGCTCACGAGCGAGCTTCTTTCGCCGCATGTCAAATTAGGTCACAGGGGCACAGGTGGCCCAGTCGTCTAAGGCGCCGCGATTCGCTGTGCAGAGTTGCGTCCCGTGGACACGCCAGAAACCTATGATGGTGGGTTCGAATCCCGGTTCACCCCAATTATGTTTCTAGGTTTGTCAGCACCGTACCCGTGCTCGTGGGTTTCACTGAAGTGGTAAACGTCTGAGACCTGCATCACTTCGGGCTTTCCTCCAACATTAAGCTGACACGCCATGATATGACTGGAATAATGTTAAAAGCGGCGTTAAACCCAACTCACTCACTCTAATCTTGTCAGTGCATCTTGGTCACCTTGGAATGCCGGTGTGAACTGCAGTGCAGAAATGAATCTCAACTTGAACCGACGTTTTCTGTAGACATCTGTCTAGACGGTGGTACATCTCATGGCAACATGTGCATGTGATGCACACATCCTGGTAACGGCGTGGACGGACAACTGTTGATGATGTAGGTGTCGTGTCGAAGTGAACTTTAGTCTCTTTGTTACATTACGCCAATGTCAGCAATATCCTGAAATGGCGTTGTACCGAGTTAGCAAGGCTTCACTGATGGTGACCCTTGATAGCTTCATGTCATCTGTAAGCATTCTCGGGACCCATCTGGCACACACTTTGAACATGTGGAGTTTGCCATGAATTATATTATGTATGGATCCATATGATAGGCCTGTTGTTTCTTCTAGCTCATGTTGATGACGTAGGTGTCGTGTCGAAGTGAACTTTCGTTTTTTTACATTACTGCAATGTCAGCAATATCCCAGCTACGGCATTACGGCTGTACATATATGCTGGGGTGGTGGAAATGGCTCTTTCGGGTTAAGACCCCAAATTAGGATGAACGAGGTTCGACTCGATCAGCTGACCTTAAAACCCGTAATTACTCTCCTATAATGACGAAAGAATCTTTTTAAATCGTTCGAGCCGAACCCACTTTTGTCACATGTCCTGGAACATGGAGCATATTGCTTACCCGTGAAGATCCGGGTTAGAAGAGGTCTTCAGCAACCCATGCTTGTCGTAAGAGGCGACTAACGGGATGGTCAAGCTCGCTGACTTGGTTGATGCATGTCATCTTATCCCTATTGCGCGGTCGATGATCCTGATGACAATCACTAGATTGTCTGGCCTAGACTCGATTATTCACAGACCGCCGTCATAAAGCTTGAATATTGGTAGTGCGGCGTTAAACAACAAACAAACAGTTTAACATACATAAGCACAAATACATTTTAGTGAAGACAGGACCCGTTTCACAAAGCCATGGTAACGTTACGACTGTCGTAATCAACAATATCACCGCTTTGTGAACTCGGTCCAAGGTGCCCCCTACATACTTAATTTTGGACGTCCCTCGTACGTTTCTGCGCAGTGCGGAAATAGACTTTAATCGGTATTTAATTAGTTATATCACTTATTCATTTAATAATATCACTTGCTCCAAACTACAATTACTATAATTACTTATTCAGTTGGTATACCTTTACGCGGTATTGATTGGAGACCACATTGACGCCCATACCCTACGTTCATCTGTTTTAGGAACAAACATGTTGGGATCCTTAACTGAGAAAGTGGAGGAAGAAAATTGTTGAGCAACATGAGGCCGAGTTACACTTTACTGTTGATACAGCTAAATCATCGTTACGCGTTGTTCGGTTCTATTCGGGACACCTTTATATAGGATGTCAACTCTCCTTTAAGAGGAATAGTATGGCTGGCAAACGTGTTCTCTCATTAACATGTCTTCAAAAATGTCTACTTTGCTAAATGGGAAAATTCCAACAATCCAGAAGCATTCGATCACTTTAAAAATGTGCACTTGGCGTTTACTATCATTTGATTGTGGGGATATATCCAAACACTATAAACGGATGTAAAGGAAGAATGATTCTCATTCAATGCCAAAGAGCACATACCGTGCATGGTGTCCCTGTTTTCTGAACATTTCATCAGAGTCTTTGAACCACAAACAGAGATTGTTTTGGTGTTTAATTTGAAATATCATCATATATGATATATAACTGTAATTATAGCCGATATGAAGTTTTATATCTATAGACCCTAAGAGGAAAAACTGAAGCTCTTCACCTCTACCAGTGTAGGGAGCTGGAAACACTCAAGGGGAGATAATTCACGAGGTCAACGTCATCAAAAGTTAACAGACGGCATAAACAAAGAAGGTGAGTGTGTAAATAAAGTTATAAACATATTATTTATCTAAGATTCGTCTGGAATTAACAATTTCCTAAAACGTTGATCATGACATGGCTTCTATGTGACCCTTTTCAGTGAAAGAATTAGGCTTGATCCAATTATCATTGAGCTTTTTTTCCCGAAGGGAGTTTTTCATGTTCTTCAAAAGCATGTCCTTCGTATCTTCATATGATTATTTATCCATTGCCACAATTACTTAACTAGAACATTTAAAACTGAAACATAGTGTCTCGGGGTTTTTTCACATTCGAATATAAATGATGACTACACATGACTTGTCGTAAAAGCCGACTAACGGGATCGGGTGGTCAGACTCGCTGACTTGGTTGACGCATGTCATCGATCCCAATTGCGGGGATCGATGCTCATGATATTAATCACCGGATTGTCTGGTCCAGACTCGATTATTTACAGACCGCCGTCATATAACTGGAATATTGCTGAGTGCGGCGCTAAACAACAAACCAAAAAAAAAAGGTAATGCAGATCTACACTGTAAGGTGACAATGTCACATATTTTCATGCTACTTGGGCATTGACAAACAAGGAATGCAAACTGCTTTGACTGCTTTGACATGTCACTGAGATGGTCATGAAATACTGACTGTCAATACATTACAATCTATAGGGGGCCTATTTCATCCTAGTGTCACTTTTGGCATTCTTCTTTTGGTACTATAGAGGTGTACAAGTACATCATGCCAAAGTACTTGAAGTAGACCTAATCTATTGTCTATCTGTAGAGGTAAAATTGTATGAAATAGGAATTAAATTATTTTAATTTGTAAAATTGTACTGTTTGTTTCATTATTTCTTTGTTGTTTAACGCCGCACTCAGCAATATTCCAGCTATATGACAGCAGTCTGTAAATAATCGAATCTGAACCAAACAATCCAGTGATTGACATCATGAGCATCGATCCCTGCAATTGGGATACAATGACATGCATCAACCACGTCAGCGAGCCGTCACCTCTTACAACATAGAATTGCACTGAACAGACTTGTATTTATATCGTGAAACAATCATAAATAATTCCTCCCAAGTGATATTAAGCAGTCATAAGAGGTGATCATGACCCCATTTCAGAAACAGATCATTGCTGACAGTAGTACTAAAACTGTTAGAGTTTGAGAGTATGGAAGTTACAAATCTAAACTCTAATTGCTTTGTGAAACTGGGCCCTGCTTGTCACTTGACAGTAAGTGAAATGACAATTTAACAGCATTTTCAACATTTTCTGAGAAACTTTATTAGTGAAATAAATAGTCTATTTTATTAAATTGAGAGGCAATGGTACAACTTAATAATCATAGCTACAAAAATATAAAGAATAGAGAAAATATTACCATAAAAAATTACTGAGACCTGAAATACAAATAAAACTGGGACATGTTGCAAGATATCTTACCCCCCTGAGAGCTTTATCATCTTGCTTCCTGAAAAAGACTGCATGAGTTGTAGGGTCAAGTCATGATGATAACATTAACCTACTGAGACACAATGTCTACCTTGTGAGGCCAGGCTTTCAAAAAAGAAGACCAATAATATCACATGAGTTTCTGCTTGCACTGGCTGTACCTGATATACAACTTACAGTAACAATGCAAAGGTATGCAACAATCCATTTTTCAGGGGTCAATATTATTTTGGGAAATTTATTGATGGAGGTGGTTTATGTGTACTTATCATACTTATGTATAGGGTTGACAAGGGTTCCACATTTGAAATAGCAATTTTTTAGAATTTTTTCTTAACATTTGATAAGACAGATTAGATATTGATTATAATCAATCATGAGAAGATTGCTCGTAGCATTACTCTGATAAGAAGAGCTATATATATTTAATAAGTCATGAGGAATACGCTTTCATTTTCTCCTTGGACAATATGACACCTACTCCTTCCTTATCTATTATAATTAGTCTTATTTACGCTATCATTAGGCACACAATTGATTGGTTTGTAACGTTACCCTGCTTTCACACGTGTCATGTACCTGAAGCAAGTTACATTTAGGGGAAATATCCATTGTAAAGTGAACTTTATCTTACAAATATATGAGTTAGAACGCATCTAACAAACTCCTTGACCTTTCTTTCTCATGAAGTTGTCACGTCTGTATTGGACAGCGAGATACACACTCCTTCCATACAGAATCTGATTTTGACCTCAGATCTTTGATAAACTTAATGTCACCTAAAAATGATAGGTGATATTATTTGTGATGTTGTGGAGCAGATTCAAAGTCTGATGTGAATAAAACAGAATACATGATGTGGGGTTTTTGGAGTTTTCTATTTTAGATGGTTTGGAGTAGTGTTAGTTTATGCATAATAGAAGTGTTGGTTAATTTGGCATCTCCCCCTCACACTTTTCTCCCACACCATTGACACATTCTCAGCTAAATGTTGAAAAAAACATGAGCAAGGCCTTTTAAATCTAATCTCAAAATCTATTCATCACAAAAATACAACTCTTAATCCAAGTCTTTGCTGATCTTTTTCTATAGTTCAGGGATGACATGAAGGGAAAAGACATGGAATAAGAGCTGTCCGATACCCCTTCTCAGTCTTCGTACAAATAGGATATTACTTTTCCTAGGTCTTTACCAAGCAAAGGTATGATTTAATTTTGTATAGTTCTGTAGGAGTGTGGATCATGTCTAGTTTGTCATATGTGTTTTACTGAACAAACACAGTTCAAGAAAGCTGCGTTTAAGTGTTATCGAATGTGGATCAAGTTTTACAACACACCTTAAATAACAAATTGATCTGTTTCTTGAGTTTACGACTATAACTGTGTTGTTTTGTTTCGTTTATGACATGTCCATTACCAACCACGCCAGCTTATTGATCTCTGACTTGGCGCTTTTTGAATGTTTTCGTGTTAATGTGCTGCAATTAGTGTAGATTAACAAGGAACAAATGAATTATTGTTAGCAACTAGCCCCATTAGTTTGTGTTTTACCGTGCACTAATTACCTGTGTCGTCCGTCTCACCTTCCAGTTACACCTGTACCAGGCTTTGATGTTCACACCTGTGTCACACTTTCAGTTACGTGAATCATTACAGTAGCAGTTACATCTATCGTTACGTCTTAAAGCTTACGTTGCCATGATGTGATCGATAATTAAGGGAAACAGTCGTAGATACGACCCGTAGACAATAGCTACTGCCACTTGATTATCTATAAGCTGATAAATCATTGATGGTTGTGTCTCTGATTGCATGTGTGCAATTTAATTGAAGCCAGATGTTGGTTGTAACATGGCTGCATGTTTTGGAGACCAGCAATGAGTTTGTCTACTTGAGGTTGAAGTACACAATCACTCTAGCAGCAGTTTGACTCCATTGTCAATGATTCTCACGAGTTTTATAATGCCTATTGATTGAAAACAAAAGGATGGAAGCATGTTGCTATGGTAATCAGTAGTTTGTTTCCATGGCAATAAAGGAAGTTCCCTTGGACTTGTGGTGTGATCATATATAGGAGAGCGCATTATCAAGTCTTGTGTCATTTCATCTCCAGTCTCTGTGTGTGTTAACTTTCTTTTATCTGGATTACACACCAACTTGGACAATGTTTAGAAGGTAAGGAATAAGGAAGTCAATTAACTTCTGTACAATTACTATTGTTAAACATTAAGCTGTATTTAGGTTTCAGGAAGTTTAAAATGTTTAGTATAATATAATTATATGTATTATCATTTCAGTGAATCCCTATTAGAACAATAAGAAAATTAATGGCTATCAAACTCTAGTGCGATGTTTTGAAGTGGTATGAAGATGTTTTCAAGTGGTTAATCTGATGTTGATACTTCAAGATACTGATCCTAATCCTTAGCTTTAAATGGAATGGTTTAATAACATGTGTCTTAGGAATGATTCCCTCATTGTTTACATGTTAAAGTAGTGGGCTGCATGAAAACATCCTGTTTGCTAATGATTGATGTATCACTACACAGCACAGAAATAACAATAGTAATGTGATCATTACAGCGGGAAAATATTGGCGACATTTTAGGCCAACCTATATTATGTATAAATATCTTGTATTTTGTCAACAGAAAGTCATTTGGATGTCTTTGTATGGACATATGGCTATGCTTTACCATGAACATAGATGATTGAAATATTGAACAACTCCTCACAAGCCTGAAGTGTTAACACTGAAATAATGTTTCAAATATCATATATCATTACAGAAATTTCAAATCAATTACAACCCTACAGTAAAACAGCCATCTTGATATGTAAACATATTCTATATAACACATTTCTCAGTTACATTTTGTGTCAGTGCTTCAAAAGCTGTTGATAGTGATGTGTATAATACATGTTTTAATTATTTGTGTCTGTTTTTGTAACTAAAGGACCATAACAGGGATCCTTGACTTTCATCCACTGGTAATGCATCCCACATTCTAGACGCAGGCCTTCAGATCAGTTCGTTTTCAAGGAAACTGACTTATTGTGGTCCAAAAGCCCCTGAAGATTTTTTTTAAATTTCATAATGACATTTTATCTAAAGGTAATAAGATCATGGAAATGTCCTATTGCCATTTGATCCAGCAAATTTACTGAGGTGTGTAACATGTGGGTACCGTATTCAACGTAATAAGCGCCCCGCTCTAATAAGCACCCACAGCGATATTTGCTAATATATTGTCTAGTGAACAATTCCAATTAGCCCCCCTTCTGATTTATCAATGTACACAAGACTTATTTATTCGTGTATAATACGCACTCGTGTGTTATATGCACCTTTAAGTATGGGCATTTATATTCTGGAAAAATGTATCTGTCGTATATAAACAGTTCAGACTGTCAGCATAAACCACGAAATTTATCTTTCAACTCTGTTTTTTCCACCAAAGTAATATTCTAATGAGAGCCGCCTATTTCTAATTTTGAGAGCGCCCTGGGCGCTTATTACATCGAATACGGTATGTGTTTATCAGCATGATCAGGGATTATCTAGGATTTTTCACTAAGTGCCCCTGGCAGGCAAATTGGGAGGAAATGGTTGTTTTGTTCAAAATTTGGATTTTCATAAATATCATAATTATTTAAAGTCATGGGTATTTTGTGATTCTGTTTACTGCAATAATATAAAACTAAGCATTAAAATGTGTTCCTATTTATGAGTTCATACATGTTACTTCTTCAAGGTCTGTACAGGCTTGAAAAGCCAACATTGAAAAGTCTTGAAAATCACCAAGATAGCTTGAAAAGCCTTGCATTTGTTCAAAGTGACATAATCTTGATAATGTAAGTATTAAAACACACAATAATTATTGTTATGTACCAAGGATGTACAAATGTGATTGATATTTTGTGATAAATTTGACACTGTGCCAAAGACCTTAAAGAATTCAAGATGGACTTAATTTATTTTATTTGTTGGTGGGAAAATCATTCTTGATTGAAAATTTGTGATGTTTATATTGCTTTTTAGGTGTTACAACTAAATATGCTGGGTTTAAAAAAAATAAAGACAGACTGAGGCTGATAACCCAACTAAAAAGCCTTGAAAATGGCCTTTGAAAGGCCTTGAAAAGGCCTTGAATCTTAGTGTTCCATATCTGTATGAACCTCGTTCAACAAAGCCATAAAGTTAGTGATTAGTTATATACATTAATACATTGATAGCATGAATTGGGTAGTGTTTAGTTCCTAATTGGGAATTTTAAGTGACATTTGCTGCAGACTAGGAGCCTAATATCTGCCTCTGAGCATGTCTTCATACTGCCCTGGTTATGGACAATAAGTAAGGACATGAATTGTTTGTATGGACATGACATCAGTTTTATTGTTGTGTATATTTATTTATGCCTTCCTAATAATTTCATGGTTTCTGTCTGTGTACAACATGAGCAGACGGTCACAGGTGCTGTTGTAGAATAACTGTGTCTAGTGAAGTACAGAATATTCTGTTTGTCTACTACCTGAAAGGTTATTTCAACAGGCATGTGGACGTGATTAATAATTAATGCGGGTTCGTGCTAGCCATCTCTTCTGATTAATTAGGCATCTGCAAGACATGGCAATGTATAGATGAAGCTATCAGACAGTGGACACAATCTATTTCTTCATTGATCAGGGATGGATTAGCTACTTAGAGCTTGCATTTCAAAATAAAAGACCTTGTTGTTTTGATGGTTTGCATGTTTTAGACGAGGAAGTAAAAAAAAAAGATTGATTGATTAGATTAACTGAAACAGATTGCCTACTCTGAATGTTTGCTTGGCACAAGTGTATCCTATGCAGAGAAAGATTAGGTCATCCCAATTCGATTTTTTGTTTTACAGATATAACTTGGCCATGATGTCCGGGAGAGGGTGGGTGAGATGTGGGTGGGTGGATGTAATTTAATAGGTGAGGTGAAATGGGGTCAAACGTCGCATCCAAGACTATTGCATTTATATAGTGACGTGCATGCACGTGTTTGTGTGGCTGCAGCGCTTGTACTAGTCCAGACTGATGTCGATTTATAGTGCTTATATAAGCCCACTTAGATGCCAAGCCGCAGTTTAACATGAATACCCCACTCAGATGCAGTATACTGACTCCGAGTCGACCAGTCCTTGTTTTAGCCCCTTAATGCTGTGTGCCAGACAGGGTAACAACAAGTACCATCTTTTAACGTCTTTTGGTATGATGCGGCCGGGAATCCGTTGAGGTATTTACTTAATTATGCATGGTTTGGAAAATATTGGTAAAGCCTCAAATGATTTCTTTGAGAGATGCCCATGAAGTAGGTGCATACAAAGACTAAACTTTGTCAGGACAACTAAAGATGCCACCACCTAGAATCACATGTACTTTCCTTTTGAGGAGCAAACAGGAGCTTCATCTTTCATGTTTATATAGCAGTGGATATTTTACTTCATATTGGGTCTTACCACCACCCATCTTCCCGAGGCAAGAGAGTTAACTGACTTTAAAAGTCCAGTTTTCACCCTTGCCGAACTAGGCTGGAATTACTCGGCTCGATCGTAGCGCCACCAGTGGCTGTTACGAGTTATGTCCCTTCTATGCCTCTCCTATTGACCAATCAGATTCTACCTCTCGTATCACTTGCTTTTGCTTCAAACAAAACGGTGGCGCCCAGTCAAGACGATCTGATTGATAATCAAGATCTATATTGTGATAAAACGAGTCTTACATCGTGTAAGTGCATCAAAAAACACGACAGCACCTTGATTAAAAGCATGAAAAGATTTAGAAAATATCTGTTGACAACGAGTTAGCGGTGCACATGCCTTGCAAATCCTGCTGTCGACCGAAATCTGCATGACACTTTACGAAACAGATTTCGATTTCGGTGCGCGATTTTGATTGGACCATGCATAGACTCATTAGTCCAGCCAAAATGTAACTCCATAATACCAGCCTAGTTCGGCAAGGGTGGAAACTGGACTTTTATAGTCAGTTAACTCACTTGCCTCGGGAAGATGACCACCACCTAGAATCACATGTACTTTCCTTTTGAGGAGCAAAAAGGAGCTTCATCTTTCATGTTTATATAGCAGTGGATATTTTACTTCATATTGGGTCTTACCACCACCTAGAATCACATGTACTTTCCTTTTGAGGAGCAAACAGGAGCTTCATCTTTCATGTTTATATAGCAGTGGATATTTTACTTCATATTGGGTCTTACCACCACCTAGAATCACATGTACTTTCCTTTTGAGGAGCAAACAGGAGCTTCATCTTTCATGTTTATAAAGCAGTGGATATTTTACTTCATATTGGGTCTGAATTCAAGGGATATGCACAGGCTCATATTTAAAAGATAGAATGCTAGTGAGTTTTGTTCTTGTAAGTGATTCTCTGTTTGAAGAAAGAGGATGAGCCTGTTTAGCTAAACTGTAAAATGTTCCATTTTTTCTATCCTCAGTTGAAAGAAACACAAGACAGCAATGGATTTTGTCCCCTCTATTACATGTAACCTATTATATGATTTTGTCAGTCATTACTGAGAATGTTCTTGTCCCCCTTTCTCTCTTCTCTCAGTCACAGGGAGGGTACAGCCCAGTATATTTAGAAGTTGACAATATATTTATTTATTTGTATATATTTATTTCAACCAACCTTTGTCACAAAGTACAATTGATTTGTATATCTGGTATTGTGTGTGCTTGCTAGATTTAACTAATGAATTACCCTTGATAGAAATCACAAGTATTATCACATTTCTGATATAAAACCTTACCCTTGGAGGACCCAGGTTTCAACATGTCCCTAGAGAGAAGACAAAGTGGATCAGGTGGTCAGGCTTGGTTGATTGCATGTCACCATACTCTGACACATCTGGCATTGCTCATAATATTTATTACTAGTTTGTCTGGTCCAGACCTGTGAAGATCCAGGGTAGAATAGAGTCTTCAGCAACCCATGCTTGCTGTAAAAGGCAACTGATGTCGTAAGAGGCGACTAACGGGATCGGGTGGTCAGGCTTGCTGACTTGGTTGAAGTATGTCATCGATCCCAATTGGGTGGATCGATGCTCATGATATCAATGACTGGATTGTCTGGTCCAGACTCAATTAGGGGGCACGGGTGGCCCAGTCGTCTAAGGCACTGCGATTCACTGTGCAGAGTTGCATCCCTTGGGCATGCCAGAAACCTATGATTGTGGGTTCGAATCCTGGTTCGCCCCGAATATGTTTCTAGGTTTGTCAGCACCATACCCGTGCCCGTAGGTTTCACTGAAGTGGTAAACGTCTGAGACCTGCATCACTTCAGGCTTTCCTCCCACATTAAGCTGACACGCCGCGATATAACTGTTAAATACTGTTAAAAGCGGCGTTAAAACCAACTCACTCACTCACCCAGACTCAATTATTGACAGACCGCCATCATATAGCTGAAATATTGCTGTGTGTGGCGTAAAACAACAAACCAAAACCAAACCAGACCACTGTGATAGCACTGGAATAATGCTGCCTGCTAATGCTATGTTTATCAACAAACTAGAAACCCCTGTTCTGTTGCAGCTACTACAACTGGGGTGAGAGGTGGTATGTATGTACACCAATCATGGACAATCTAACTGCTGTCACTGCTGGGGGATCCAGTCTGTTTGACCTCACTGGGAAGAGGCTTGCGAACGCAGGATCTAGCATCACCTCATTTGCCTGCGAACCAAACCAGGATGACATCAGACCTCCTCGAAGGGTGAGACATGTTCGTGTGGAATGTCTTTGTCTTTCTGTTCTAAACATGCCAACATTGGGAGATCCTGCAAGACTTAAGTTAAGTTTCTGAATATTGAATATTGAAAATATTTTAAGGTTTCTTTTGTTAAGTTATTCAAAATAAAATAGAAAGGAGCCCAGGGAGTATCTATCTTGTCAGGCTGAAATGGAAGAAATATAGACTTGTATTGTCGACTTGCTTGGGATTTTGAATATTTATATATTCAGTGTCTGTATGAGTTTATGTTTGTTTGTTGTTTAACGCCACACTCAGCAATATTCCAGCTATATGACGGTGGTCTGTAAATAATCGAGTCTGGACCAGACAATCCAGTGATTGACATCATGAGCATCAATCCACGCAATTGGGATATGATGACATGCATCAACCAAGTCAGCAAGTCTGATCACCCGATCCCGTTAGTCGCCTGTTACGACAAGCAAAGTCACCTGTATGAGAGACTGCTACAATCTGTTTGTAGTTATTCCTGGATACATTTAAAGGAACAGTAGTCATTCATGCTGAGAGAATCTACGCAATCGTTACATTAGTGGGGAGACCTCTGCTACATATAATAGTGGTATGGATTCCATGTATGTCAACAGTATGGCTAGTGGGGGCGTGTCAAGTGACCTTGATTTAGCGTAAATTATATAATTTTTAACATTGTAAGATATTTTGCTGCTCAATTGTAGGAGCGTGGGTTCCACCACACCTCAAACCATGCTGTCATAATGATAGACATTAATTGATCTTTGTAGCCAATTAGTGCTAATTAACCAAAACAGTATTTGTCTCACCTACAGTCACACATCTCACAACAACATGCAACTGCAGCAGATTATTGCATAATGTTTGCCAGCAGGCAGCCCAGGTATCATAAAACACTCCGCCATGTGTACAGTGTAAAGCAGCATGTTTGCAAGTGACCTGGATTCACAGAGTCTGTGACATGTTGCTTGATCTTTGTAGTACCATTTCAAGACTGCAACAGGATATTGTGATTTGGAGAAAATACATATAACAAGGGAACCAATCTGTGTTTTGAAATCACTTGTAATCCATGTGTCCAAGATGGGATCACCCTGATTATTTTCGTCAATAATTGTTGGTCACAGGTAGGGGTTCACATGTACTTCTTCCAAAATTACAGTTTATCTTCCGTGAAACACTCACATTCCATGATAACACAAAAACTATTGTCACTGTTAGAGTCAGGTATATCAGCAAGTTGTTATCAGCATGCCACAAAGAGGAAGGAAGAAAGCAGCGTTAGAAATTGGCACTAGTCCTATAGTCCTTGCCAAATAGCCCAATAGTAAAGGTATCCTAAGGACTAGTAGAAATTGGCCCATTTTAAGGGTTTATCATGTTATCATTATAAGGACTAGTGGACAAAAGCTGTTAGTTTCTAACCCTGAAGAAAGAATGATCGGTGCTTCCTCATTTGATACACAGATCAACTGATAAGACACAGAAAAGACTCACAACAAAATAAATTAAAGTACCGAAACGCGAACAATAAACACAATTGAAGAAATAGTTGTATGTTTCGTACATTGTTTTCTTACCAAATAGTGAACTCAGTTTAGTGATGTAAATGGCAGAGCTGGAGATAAGCTCGTGGTTATTTGGGTATTTTTACCCAGGGATTTGATTTTGATTGGGTATCCCTAATTTTTAGAGAGTATTCAAATACTTTTGTACCCACCTGTTTCTTGACATTTGGGAATTTGACTTCAAAACCTGTTTCGTACCTATCCCTGTAAATCATATGAATAGAATATACGTCTGCTGTTGTTGTTTGCAGAATCTAGCATTGTAAGAAAGGTGCTGATTTTTAATCTCCAATCAGCGACTGTTTAAGATACAAAATGTGCACTGACTAGGCCTGATGTGCTTTTCAATTGGCATCTATCAGTATGGTTGTTGCACAAGTTTTACCAAATGCAACTGTCCGTAAGTGAATTTCGTGATCGACTGATACACGATCAATTTATCTAACAGTTGTAATATGCACAATCACTTTATCTGATGGTTGTAATATACACATTAATTTTATTTTAATAGCGTATTTATAGTTTTTGTTGCAGATTTGATACGCTAGGAATTGATTTGTCTATGTATTTTAGTTTATTTTATGCATATTTTTTACACAAATATGCAGCTTATCTCGAGCTCTGAATGGCGTTTGTCACATTTCCATTGTTTATTGTGGATAGGAGAATGTCTAAGAGGAAGAATAAAAGGTTTGGTTTGATTAGTGCAAATGGAGGGAAGGGCTTGTTGTGCAATCAAGTGTGTGATAGTGTGAGGTAGCTTGTGCGATCAGGCGTATAATTTTCCTCCAACAAGACTATATATTGAGCATCTCTATATATAGGCTCCACCTCCGCTTTATTTTCGTTTCAGCCTTTGAAGTTGATAGACAGGACAAAAATGAAAAACCTCATTTACGTGCCTCTTTCGATGTTTTGAATACCATATTTGCATAAACAATGTTACAATCTATCCAAATCTGCAAAGTTGCATGCACCCATGAGACTTGCACCTTAAAGAATGACAATGTTCCATCAATCCAGTGTAATTACACTTGACTTTTGTTCTTGTGTTTCATGACAAGGGTTAATTCAATAATGTTATTCTTTTCTTTGTTAATAATATTTATGAAAACAGTGTTTCCAGAGTGTGGAGGTGTTTCAGGTGTGCTATGAGAACACGTACCAGCTGGAGCCTCCCGCAAAGTTCCGACCTGACCAGGTGAAGCCCATCATAGAGAAGGTGCTCAGCATTAACCTGTCAGGTAACAACATCTCTAACATCTCACCAAGCAGTCTAACCATCTCACCTACAGGTCCACCTATCCATAGCCTCACATCCAGGTCCAAACATCTCACTTCCAGGACCACCTATCCATAGCCTCGCATCCAGGTCCAAACACCTCACTTCCAGGACCACCTATCCATAGCCTCGCATCCAGGTCCAAACACCTCACTTCCAGGTCCACCTATCCATAGCCTCGCATCCAGGTCCAAACACTTCACCTGTAGGACCACCTATTCATAGCCTCACATCCAGGTCCACACACCTCACCTGCAGGACCACCTATCCATAGCCTCGCATCCAGGTCCAAACATCTCACTTCCAGGACCACCTATCCATAGCCTCGCATCCAGATCCAAACACCTCACTTCCAGGACCACCTATCCATAGCCTCGCATCCAGGTCCAAACACCTCACCTGTAGGACCACCTATTCATAGAATCGCATCCAGGTCCAAACATCTCACTTCCAGGACCACCTATCCATAGCATCGCATCCAGGTCCAAACACCTCACCTGTAGGACCACCTATTCATAGCCTCACATCCAGGTCCACACACCTCACCTGCAGGACCACCTATCCATAGCCTCGCATCCAGGTCCAAACATCTCACTTCCAGGACCACCTATCCATAGCCTTACATCCAGGTCCAAACATCTCACTTCCAGGACCACCTATCCATAGCCTCGCATCCAGGTCCAAACACCTCACTTCCAGGACCACCTATCCATAGCCTCGCATCCAGGTCCAAACACCTCAATTCCAGGACCACCTATCCAGGGCCTCACATCGAGGTCCAAACACCTCACTTTAAGGACCACCTATCCAGGGCCTCACATCCAGGTCCAAACACCTCACTTCCAGGACAACCTATCCATAGCCTCACATCCAGGTCCAAACACCTCAATTCCAGGACCACCTATCCAGGGCCTCACATCCAGGTCCAAACACCTCACTTTAAGGACCACCTATCCATAGCCTCGCATCCAGGTCCAAATAATTTCTTTCATTCACACTTCAGGTAAAAAGTATGATCCCATCGAGTGCTCACTGCTTTGCAAATGTCTCTCTGATGACATCAAGGCAAAGGTGAAGGAACTTAATTTCAAACGGTAAGAAGTGATTCAGTGAGATTGAGAGGGTATTTTGGGACATTTATCCGTCTATCGGTGAATTAATTATACATTTCAAGGGCTTGAACATGAGGTAAATACCACATGTGACATGGGAGAGGGGAGGGTAGTCAAGGAGCCTGCAGAGATAGGCGAGATCTCCACAGCACATTACTACACTTGCCAAGTAGTTCGATTTGTGTGTAGAGAGAGTGAGTGACTTGACTCTTAACACTCTTGAACTTAACAGTTTATTAGTTATATCTGTTGTATTATGTGAGGAAGACCCGACAAGAAGAAGGCTTTTACTCTGATGAAACCCATGAGCACTGACATATTACAGATCTGAGGGAGACTGTTAAACTTCCTGTGGCATTATATGAAACACATCAGTAGCCTAAATGATAAGATGTCAAATAAAACTCTAGTAGACTAACATTAATACATGTATATTGCATAACTAACCTGAATATTGACAGTTAAATTTGACGATATATGACTATTGTCTTTGAATTTAACTTTTTGCATGCGGAATATAAATCATCAAAATGGATGTGAAAGATATTAATAGCATTTAGTGCTGAGAACTAAATGCCTTTATCTCAGGCTTGGCACCGTTACTATTATTACACCTTGTGCGTCTACGTCCTGGCTTGCATGGTGCCATGGAACATAATCATCAGAATGGGATGTGAAAGATATTGATGAGAATATTAATTGTTTAATGTACCAACCCAAAAATTGAAAAGATTTCTGAAATGAAGAAATGTTTTAAAGATTACAGTATTAAATGAACCAAGTCAAAATATGGTTAATCCTTCATTTTCAAAGAAAAAAATTTTCACTTCTTTTTTATTTTGCAAAGCTGACAATTCTTTGGGACCACCAACTCAATGTAGGCCAGTGACTTTGAACAATAAGGCCAAGTAACAGCAGTAAGTTGGCTTTCTCCACTGAACAACAAAGTCATCAGATCACTATCTGATTTAATGAGGACCCAGGTCTCACTGTCTAGCTGTGTGTATATCTCTCTGCCTTGTACCACCGCAGGTACAAGATCATTGCTCAGGTGACAATCGGGGAGAAGAAGGACCAGGGGGTTCGAGTGGGCAGCCGCTTCCTGTGGGATTCGGACAGGGACAACTTTGCCTCAGCAGAGTTTGACAACCGCAGCCTCTACGCAGTTGGAATGGTGTATGGGGTCTACTTTGAGTGACCATACTGTGTGTTGACCACATACGTCATTACATGGGACTTGGACAAAATGGTTGAGTTTTGCATCACTGAGTCAAACATTTGTGATATATAAATATAAGTTATCATATTTGTGATGTCATTTGTTGGTCAGCTTTGAAAATGCCAGTGAGTTATTATGTGATATGCAAGATTATCAAGTCACTGGGTATGTAATGACATACCCAGTCCAAGGATGCTCTGACTTACCAGATGATCCTTTGTCTCATGACTTCAATGCAATGACAAGGCTGCTGAAACAACCACCTACCATCAATGCATCGTATTTAGTCTACCATTCTAATGAAGTCAAAGGGTCATGTGAATGAAAAGATTTCAATGCCTGAAGTCAAAATAGATAGTGCTTCATCTGATGTAACTACATTCACAAGTGAATATTGGTCAGTTTTTGATAAACTAGCATCTAGCATTTTGTTTACAAATTAAAAAAACAGAAATGCAGTAAACTATGGTTATGACGAACCCAAAGGGACCACTTATTTTAGTTTGTTATAACCGTAGTTTGTTATAAGCATATATGCAGCAAATGGCCAGGACCAAAAAATAATTCGCTATATCCATCAGTTTATTATAATCGTGTTCATTATAAAACATATTTTACTGTACTTCACTCACGTTTTAAACAAGACTGAATTAGGATCTAAACAAAGACTATGTAATGTTGTTGTGTGTTGATTTGAGTAGACATTAATTGGACTAAGGTCCAATGATTTGATACTGCCCAGCTTGTCCAAGGTCCATACACTGGTCCAATCATCACCAGGAGCCTTGAGGATTGTCCCACCTGGAGGTGTGAGTTCAGGTCAATGAGGTGTGATCAATACAGGCGTATGTCCATCGGTCAGCTGCCACTACTGACCAGTAAGGTGTTACAGTATTAAATACATCAATACTCTAATGTTAGCTCAGTTCGAGTGGGGGTCTAAAAGGAGAGTTATTCTCGCATGTTGGAGTGGATTGGATTGAATAGTGGAAAACACTGACATAAAGTAAATACGTGCTGAAGTGTATGCTTGCTGGTCGTCTTGGAAATGTGTTTGTTTTACGAAGTCATTATTATATTGTACGTGTTGAAAATTGTTTATGAGGGTCATGAAAAGTGCCCTAGTTGTGTTTGTGATTGTTTTATATTCAGTGACAACTTCTGCAATAAATGTTGTTTTTATTCTGCAAATCTTGAGTCTGTATGTTTGTAGTTAAAATATCACATAATTCTGTTTCTTTATACTGTCATTGTTAGTCTTTAGAGGAGATATGTGTTAAAGAAGATCATAATCTGAGAATTGCGCTCATGAAAGTTACTTTTTGTCAAGGCAAGTAGTTTCTTTGTATTTTTAGTTTAAAAGTTGAAATTTAACACCTTGTTGAGAAGTTATTGTGTGTCATACTCAAACTGATTTGATAGTTCTTTTGTAATATATTTTATTTCTCTCAATTAAATAACAAATGATATACATCTTAAGAACATACTGTGTTCATTAGACTTTTATAATAATTATATGAAAAAATTACATAGTAATTGAATTTGAATAATGAAAATTTATGCCCCTAAGCCAGAAGTTTCCATCCAGCCTGTCACCCCTGAAACAAGGCTACACAGTATCTCCCACACCTTCAAAGCTATGTGACTGTTGTCAAAGACTCATTTCCCCACATCTCTGGTACCTCCTGACAAGTGGTCCCCAAACTACATAGCATCTCTACCAGTGACACAGAGAACTTGACAGTATTAGCTTAAGACTGAGTGAGTGAGTGATTTGGGTTTTAACACAGCTTTTAACAGTATTCCACTTATATCATGCTGTGTCAGCTTAAACTGGGAGAAAAGCCAAAAGGGATATGCAGGTCTCAGACGTTTACCACTTTGGCGGAAGCCAAGCGCATGGGTATGGTTCTGACAAACCTAGAAACATATTCTGGGCGAACCCGGATCCAAACCCACGGTCAAAAGTTCCTGGTGTGCCCCAGGGAGACAAACAACTCTGCACAGCAAACGGAAACGTAGATGTCTGGGTCACCCATGCCCCCAGCTTGAGGTTCTGACAAACCTAGAAACATATTCAAGGCGAACCAGGATTCAAACCCACGGTCAAAAGTTACTGGTGTGCCCAAGGGACACAACTCTGCACAGCAAACGGAAACGTAGACGACTGGGCCACCCACGCCCCCAGCTTGAGACTCAGACCCCTTGTATGCAGCCATTCTCTCCAGCTGGGCTGTTATTGATCTTGACACTCTTCCACTTGTCTGTTTTCCAGAATAAATACAAAAATATATCAGACTTAAGTCGAAATTACTTTACCAAGTCTATATTGCCTGAAAAATAAGCATTGTTTTTTTTTAGATATCTATTTTCAAATAAGATAACTTATTTCTGGGACTAAATGTTAGTCTGCCCTTCCACCTGTGTCTGTAATTTTGAAGCAGAGCGACCAACTACCCTATGCTTCACGAACACACTCTACTTTCACTTGCAGATTTGTTTGTCAGCATAACATGTTTAAACAAACACTTTCTTCTTTCTTCATTCTCGGTTGTTGGATGTCGAGGATGTGAACTGTATAAGGTTATTGTGACTTGTGGTTAATTACCTCAGTGTTCCCACTGGCTTTTGAAACTGCCAGTCCTTGTGGACTGGCAACTCTAAAAATTTCAGTACCCCCTAAATTTTGCCAGTCCGAAATAAAAAAAAATAAAAAATTATTTGGTTTTAATTCTTTCAACATCATGTTCAGTGCAAAGATGTCATGTCTGAAGTAACTTAGTGAGATCTATACATCATTCACCAATAATTCAGTCTCTCTTTTTTTTTAATATTTCGAGACAAGTCGCTACAAATGGATATTTAACCTAGAAATAGACAAGGGGGAAACCCTAATGGTAACAGACAAGCTGACTTTATTCGAAAAATGTACTTATATGAATATCACTGATGTTTTGTTCAATAACAAAGTTTTATAAGGTACTTTATTTGCCGGTCCACAGGGACTGGCAGTCACATGAATTACCGGTCCAAGCCCAATTTTTCGGGTAAAAAAAATGGTAATTACCAGTAAACGGGAACGCTGTACCTGTCATGTATAATGTACAAGATTATGGTGACATGCAGTTAGTTCATTTGCAGAAGAGAATTGCTGTCAAGAAAAACAAAACATTTATGTTTTAAGCAGGAAAATTAGATTTATTTTTTCTTGCCTAAGTTCTGGTGGTGATTAGGTGCATTTTAACAAGAAATCATGAGTGCATAAGTGTAGTTAATGCCTGTTCAAACACAACATTATTGGTAGAACAAAAAAATCCAATATCTTAAGGGTATGTCCACATCTTGATCCAAAGAAATAGGAATTTCAGAATCCATTCATGTATCACATATCAGAAACATTTATCTTAAGATTATTACTAACATTGGTAGGTGCTAAAATAAAAGAAATGCTCAGTAGAAGTTTTCAAAACTTAGAATATTAAACATATCTCGAATTTATTACTAAATTTACTCTTTTGAGGAAGGGCAACCATCAATTCATGTACCATTCGTCTCCATTCTATTATGACAAATACCCTGGACCCATTCGCTGCAATTGCTTCAATCAGTCAATGACATAACACAAAAAATAGCCATTCAGTCAAATTCCACCCGTGTGCCAGAGAATTCCGTCAGAAGTGACTGGTAAAGAGATGAAGATGGTGATGTCACTTCCCAAACTAAAGTACCAAGGGACCCTGGGTATCTGCTACAATAGAAGACACTGGATAATCAACATCACATCCATGAATCCAAATTCAGTTGCTGACAAATCAATATGAAGCACAACTTTTCACTAGGGTATAAATTTGTACACAATTGATAAAAATAGTAAAAATATATAACAATGTATGTACAATCATTAATGAAATTATCACAATATTGTATATATCTATATACAATTAGTCTATTTTCACAGAAATCACATGTTTGATGAATATAAATTCTAAGAAACTGAATGTGGTCCACTTAATTGATGCAATCATATTAAGTCATCTTGGTTGTACATAATTATTCCATGAATATCATTAAAATTAGATTTTTTATTCTGATGCAACACCTCTCTGATACAACTAAGACAGGCATATAATCCTTCTACCCTGCTCAGGGGCAGTCGGGTAGCCTAGTGGTTAAAGCGTTCGCTCGCCACGCCGAAGACCTGGGTTCGATTCCCGACATGGGTACAATGTGTGAAGCCCATTTCTGGTGTCCCCCGCCGTGATATTGCTGGAATATTGCTAAAAGCGGCGTAAAACCATACTCACTCACTCACTCTACACTGCTCATTCTCGTTTCTATATAAAACAATCGGTAATGTACACAAGAAAATATGGACAGTTGCGTTAATGTTGAGATTATTTTGGTGCACTTGTAAAGATTACTGACAGACTGGTCCAGAAGTTGGTCAGTGGGCAGTTGTTGGTGCAGGGTGCTTAATATGGCAAATATGGTAATTGTAAATTGTACATCTACACTGAATTTGATTCTTATATGCCTTATTTCTAATATTCAAAGTATATAACATATTGCTCTTGAAATAAAGGACAAACGCGAAACAATTTGTCAAATAGAAGGTTAAACAAACTTTAATACACCTTAATAATATACCCTAACAATTCTAAACAGGAACACAATGCGGTTCCTCTTGTGCCTCCTACACAATATATATGTATCATCCATAGGATGCTATTCTGGCACACTGACATAACATTGCATGCCCAGCTATTGAGATCGTACGTGGCAGCTAGTTGATGGCTGTAATCAAGGATTGTAACTTTCTGGCAGGAATCCTCAATGTGTGTCATACACTGTAGGAGCCTGAATATTATAACACACACACCCACCCTTTCTATTAGGCTAAAGAAAATATAGTCTTGGTTGTCAGGCACCTCCCGCATCATCATAAAGTCTGCCGCATGTTTTGTTGTTATTTCCATTTAAATAAAAATATAAAAAATATTAATACTTAAAAGATATGTGATCCAACATAGCACGCAGTTACTTCCCTTTACATGCGGCAATAGGAGTTTGTATGGTTGTTTTTAAAGGGAGGCTCTTTCCAAGGTTGATGGTACACAACTGTTTATTTGGTAACAAACTAGTTTGAACAAGCAACAACAAAAAAACACCACCCACCCTCACTATATTTTCAAAAGTCATTGCCTGAGAACCAATTCTTTTATTTTGTTAAGCCTTATAAACATGATAGCTTACAAGCCATACAGACTTACAGACTTCAAGTTCAGATAAAACTAAACTGCATCAGACGATGAATCGGGATTCAGTATCACAGTCATTATCGATACACTACTGCTATTGAAAAAGTTCCAGTAAAAGCTGATCAAGTCGATTGTGACTGAAGAAGAGTGATCTCCCTTGCAATGTTGGTCCGTGCTTGTTCTTCATACAACTGTTTGAACTCTTCTGTGGAGAAGATGTGCTCCCTAGTGAGGAAGTTCTGTAGGACCTGCAGCATGAAGGCGATACCAAGGATTGCTTCAAACTGACTAGGCCTGCACCATGACTGGAATTTATATTTTTGAGGTATTTGTATTTACTAAAAGCCTTGGCAAGTCTAGATCAAACTAACCAAGTCTAGTTTGCTTGATTCCACATATGAAAACAGCAGAAGAGGAAAGGTTCTTGCGAAGAAAAAAATTAAATATTTTAAAGACGTTTTCACTGACTAAGTGTTAGTCTACAAACTGACAAACACTACACAAGACATGCACCATGTGCCTTATGTTTATATGCCTTAGAAATTCCTTTTTTAGACAAGGCCAAAGGAATAGTGTAAGCCTTATTTCACTAGTCCTCAAGTGTGCAGCCTGTCATCTTGAACGAGACATAATGTTTACTATGTTCACATTTTCTATTAGATTTATTCAGTTCCAATTTAGAGCAAAATTAATGCATCGGGAACTGCTTCAGAATTATAGCCCTCAAACAATACTTCTCAATAAGGACTACCATCACTGGATTTTTAACCTGTCCTCAACACAATTTAGTAGTCTCATGGTAGTGGACTAGCATTAATGTCAAAGATTTTTCTGCACTCTTCATAACAGCACAAATTGTAACATGTTAAATCCATGACACATGATGTCATTAAATTATTAATTATTAAATTTGTTCGTTTGTTGTTTAACACAGCACTCAGCACTATTCCAGCTATATGACAGTGGTTTGTAAATAATCGGGTCTGGACCGGACAATCTAGTGGTTGATATCATGAGCATCGATCCACGCAATTGGGATACAATGACATGCATCAACCAAGTCAGCGAGCCTGACCTACTGTTGTTAGTTGCCTCTTATGACAAGCATAGTCGCCTGTTAGGGCAAGCATGGGTTGCTGAAGACCTATTTAACCCTGGATCTTCACACAGTATTAAAACAAAAACATCAGTTACACCCACTGTACAACATCCTGCATGGACATTTGGATATAGTAATCCAGTCCTTGCCAGTAGTGACATCTGTTCATAGCTGACTTGAATACAATAATGACTGACATGCGTCCGACACAATGTTTGAGTGGGTTGAAAACGAAATATTATTTTGCATACTTCCTTTTTTGAAGCAAACTAAACATAAATGTATACGACATATAACTGAACCACTAGGTGATATGATTTCGACAAATCTAGAGTAACAACTATAGACAAATTCTATGCATTTGTTTGTTTGTCTGTTTGTTGTTTAACGCCACATTCAGCAATATTCCAGCTACGTGACGGTCTGTAAATAATCAAATCTGGACCAGACAATCTAGCAATTGACATCATGAACATCGATCCACGCAATTGGGAGATCAGCGAGCCTGACCACCCGATCCTGTTAGTCACCTCTTGCAACACATGCAACAAGCATAGTCGCCTGTTACGTCAAGCATGGGTTGCTGAAGACCTATTCTAGCCCAATCTTCACAGGTCGGCAGGTATGCAGTGTTGGTATTGAGCATGGCTGGATAGTCATTGAGCATGGCTAGTTAGTCATTGAACATGGCTAGTTAGTCATTGAGCATGGCTAGTTAGTCTTCAAACATAACTAGTTAGTCTTCGAACCTGGTTAGTTTTCTGGGTTATTCTTCATACTGGGCTGTGGGAACCAATGTCATGCTTTCACATAACACACTACTACTATTATTGTATTTCTATGTACTAAAGTGCAGGTTACCTGAGCTCTCTTGGTGTTGAATGTTTCTGTGTCCAGGTGACAGTACTCCCTCTGTATCTGACCAGCGTAGTCACGGTAACCTGGACAGTACAGTACTAGTAAACACAAACATATTACAGAAGCCGCCAGGTGACAGTACTCCCTCTGTATCTGACCAGCGTAGTCGCGGTAACCTAGACAGTACAGTACTAGTAAACACAAACATATTACAGAAGCCACCAGGTGACAGTACTCCCTCTGTATCTGACCAGCGTAGTCGCGGTAACCTAGACAGTACAGTACTAGTAAACACAAACATATTACAGAAGCCACCAGGTGACAGTACTCCCTCTGTATCTGACCAGCGTAGTCGCGGTAACCTAGACAGTACAGTACTAGTAAACACAAACATATTACAGAAGCCACCAGGTGACAGTACTCCCTCTGTATCTGACCAGCGTAGTCGCGGTAACCTAGACAGTACAGTACTAGTAAACACAAACATATTACAGAAGCCACCAGGTGACAGTACTCCCTCTGTATCTGACCAGCGTAGTCGCGGTAACCTAGACAGTACAGTACTAGTAAACACAAACATATTACAGAAGCCACCAGGTGACAGTACTCCCTCTGTATCTGACCAGCGTAGTCGCGGTAACCTAGACAGTACAGTACTAGTAAACACAAACATATTACAGAAGCCACCAGGTGACAGTACTCCCTCTGTATCTGACCAGCGTAGTCGCGGTAACCTAGACAGTACAGTACTAGTAAACACAAACATATTACAGAAGCCACCAGGTGACAGTACTCCCTCTGTATCTGACCAGCGTAGTCGCGGTAACCTAGACAGTACAGTACTAGTAAACACAAACATATTACAGAAGCCACCAGGTGACAGTACTCCCTCTGTATCTGACCAGCGTAGTCGCGGTAACCTAGACAGTACAGTACTAGTAAACACAAACATATTACAGAAGCCACCAGGTGACAGTACTCCCTCTGTATCTGACCAGCGTAGTCGCGGTAACCTAGACAGTACAGTACTAGTAAACACAAACATATTACAGAAGCCACCAAGCCAAACAGGCTGCCCCATGGCTCAGGTACCCCTTGAAGAAACAAAACATCCTTACTTTAAACAGTTTGCCTACGTTGTCATTCAGGCAGTGTTGAGATAAATTAGCCATTTTAATTATTTCTGAAGATACAGAATATATATTCCTTCCAGATGCCTATACCACCAGCACATCAGAAAACATGTGTTTATCAGTGGTAACTACAAACAGTTATTGGTAATTTCCAGTTACCAGGGGTGAGAATCTTCCTGTTTCCACAAATTTTCATGACCACAATTTTATTAAAATCTGATGGCTTCCCCATAAATACCCCCAATTTATGGACCACGCTCCATTGCAAATAAGTTTCAGCTGAAAAGGAAAATATCCATTCTTGTCCCTGAGTAACAGTGGCACGATCAAATTTCTCTAAAAAAAAATAACATCATGATGTCAATGATATCATCAAATTCAACTATGACAGAACTGCCTAGATAGTAGAATTTAGACATGTGAAATAATGTGAAGGGCTTCTGTCAAATACTAATTCATGTCGGCAGGTCAGATTTTTTCACAATTTTACAACTGACAAAAAGTGTATTCACACACCAAAAAAAGTAAAGAATTGACAATATCATGTATTTTTAATAATAAAATAAATAAACCTATGTTATTTTGAGTGACTGTCCATCTCACATGGAAAATATTTTTGTACCTTAGAATTGAGATAAATCATTTTTGTAACCATGGCAACAAGATACATGTAAGGAAACTGACAGCAAGATAACAAGGTTACCAATTATCACAGTAAGTCTACAACAGACAGGTCAGTGGTCAACAGTAGCTGGCCATTGTTCTATCATGATATAACATTTACCGTATTCAACGTAATAAGCACCCAGGGCGCTCTCAAAATGAGAAATATGGGGCTCTAATTAGAATATTACTTTGGTGATAAAAAAACAGAGTTGAAAGATAGATTTTGTGGTTTATGCCGACAGCCTGAAATGTTTAAATAAGAGAGATACATTTTTGCAGAATTTAATTGCCCATAATTAAGGGTGCATATAACACACAAGTGCGTATTATACATGAATAAATAAGTGTTGTGTACATTGATCAATTGGAAGAGGTGCTAATTGGGATTGTTCACTAGCCAATATATTAGCAAAAAATTGCCGTGGGCGCTTATTACAGCGGGGCACTTATTACGTCAAATACGGTATACTGAGTTTTCATATAATAATTAGATCCACAGCAAGGGCTTTTATAAGTTATCATTGTGTAACATTTAAACAAAATTTCATATAATTATAGTTTAGCAAGTAATACATTAATCAAAGTAAAATGCACATACAAAATATCAGTAGTTTCAGTTATAGCTTCGGTCTCAAGAGGTAGTTTGGGTTTATGAAAATGCAAGAATTTCGCTAAATGTCCTGTGCATGACGATACACGTGATCAGAAAGGGAATTCACTCGTCTGTCATATTGGTATTCCCGGACATTCCATACGTAGTAATAAAAGTAGTCCGCTTCGGTGGGCGTGGCTTAATTTTTTACATTCATTGGGAAATGAATACAATAACACATGACCAATTCAGCTAATCAGAAAGCAGGAATTACAATGAACACAACGAAAATTTAATTATTAAGGCATAGATAGTAATTTAATATGATATTAACTGTCTGGTACAATATGCTTGAATGTGACAGTTAAAAAAATATAAAGAACTGTTTTCAAAATATATTTTACTCAAAATGATCATTTATGGCAAAGTCATTATATTAGTATTCATCCTGTGGCAGTGAGTTGATCAAAGATTGTTGAGAAAAAAACATTTGAGAGAAGAAAAAAGGACGATGGTTCATAACAATTTTTACCTTACTTTTCTAATGAAAACTGTTCAAAGTACAGACGAAACTCATTAGGGCCCAACCTGATTTGACTGATGATTGACTGCAAGATATACTGAACAAAATACTTAGAGATCATGAATATTTTGGGGGATGCATTTTTTAAGTGAAGGCTTCTATAAATGTGTGCAGAGTATAAACATATTTCATGATCTCAAACTTTTTTGTTCGGTATATCTCAAACTGATCGGACTGATGATAAACTACAGGGCAGCACTTTCCTATCGGAGGCATGGGTGGCCCAGTCGTATAAGGCGCCACGATTCGCTGTGCAGAGTTGCGTCCCTTGGCTACGCCAGAAACCTATGATTGTGGGTTCGAATCCCGGTTTCGCCCCCGATTATGTTTCTAGATTTGTCAGCACCATACCCATGCTCGTGGGTTTCACTGAAGTGGTAAACGTCTGAGACCTGCATCACTTCAGGCTTTCCTCCCACATTAAGCTGACACGCCGTGATATAACTGGAATACTGTTAAAAGCGGCGTTAAACCCAACTCACTCACTCACTCACTCACTTTCCTATCGATAAATTTTTGCTCAAAACCAAAACTAATGAAAGGATTTAACATATAAAATATATCAATGCTACATGCTACTTGTTTGCAGGTCTGTTTGGGTGCATTGGTGGACTGAAGGAAGGGACATGTCTCTTGAAGACGGTATGTCCACAGGGTGTCACGGTAGACCGGCTCATCCACCCGGGAGCTTCCTGTTATTCCTACTGTGCTCTGTCAGGGTACGTGTACTGTTGTATATCCTGGGTTGATAGTACATGTTGTGTCTTGTCAGACGTGTAAACAAAGGTTTAGGGTGTCAGTCTCAAAACATTAAGCACCCATGAAGATCCGGGGTAGAATAGTTCTTCAGCAACCCATGCTTGCCCTAAAAGGCGGCTATGCTATTGCAGAGTATCCACTGAGATACCGTACCACAATTTAACAAGAATAACCCCCTCAGACCCATGAAGATCCGGGGAAGAAAAGGTCTTCAGCAACCCATGCTTGCCCTAAAAGGCGAATATGCTTGTCATAAGAGGCGACTAACGGGATCGGTTGGTCAGGCTCACTAATTTCATTGATGCATGTCATCATATCCTAATTGTTTGGATCGATGCTCACGTTGTCAATCACTGGATTGTCTGGTCCAGACACGATTATTTACAGACCGCTGTCATATAGATGGAATATTGCTGAGTGCAGCATTAAATAACAACCAAACAAACAAACAAACCTGGTTGCACAAACACGAGGAGAAAGTAGGTTCCTGATAAAGGTTTGAAGTGACTAAATGGATATACATGATTTCAATGTATGATGACAGAAATCTTGTTACACACCATCAGCTGGTCGACCCAGCACTGCCATATCAAAATCCAGGAAAAACTTGAGGTCTCTGTTGTCATCGGCAACATTTGACAAATGAGTGATGGTTGCATCTATCAGTTGTATCGTTGTATCTATAAGATGTGCATTCTACAAAACAGAAAAATCAAAATCCTTTTGAAAGGGGATAGGTGTGATAGATCATAGAGCTTCATCATATTTTGCTGACTCCCACATTTTATGTAATATTTTTACATGTACCTCTCTCCCCTATAATAAAAGACCATCCCTAATTAATGTTCAAAGTTAAAACTTTTTTATTTAAAAAAATAGAACGGTGTTATTTTTTCATGCCCCTCCCTATTGATCTGATAATTTTGGGCAACGCCCCCTTTTTCGCTGTGTCATTTTTCCATGACACCCCTCAGCCCCTTAATCTCCCCCAGTTCACAGACTGTAGTATAAGCATATGTTCTTGGGCAGGGGCAAGTAACTCAGGTACTCGATCAGGTCAGGTGGGTCCTGAGTAGGACATACCAGACCCACGGTTAGTCACATAAATGACAATAACAATATAAAACCATGGTCACAATTCATGTCGCTAACATTAGCATTACTTTCTGACAAATGAATGCATGCATTCCTTCTCACTCTTATATGTTTGAGTAAAGATAAAGCTTCAGTCAACTTCAGCATCATCAGATCGTTTAATACATGTAGTAATGACCAATGTACTGACGCCCGCAATAAGCATTCCTATCAGAACACTTCATCCCGAATTCCCCCATTACTATGAACGCATCCTGATCCCATCCTCGTCGCCAATGTATTTCCTTTAGTTCTCATATGGAACTATCTCTGTATCTATAACACGAAAAGCTGGAATACTATCATGGGTTTATTCTTCATCATGGCGTCAGTACATCCGTCTGCGCTGACATCATCAGGTACGTCATAGCGTGAGCTAACTGGTACTATTTTATAGCACTAATCACAATGACAATACACTACATAAATAGTTTTTTCCAGGGCTCCACAGAAGCAATTCCCAATTGGACATTTTGTACCCAACTCTTGAGACCTAGAGTGGGTACCCAGGTAGGGTCGGGTAATATGGCCAAAGGGTTGGGTACCCGGGTAGTAAATCTGGACTTGACCCTGCCCTAATACATTCATATAACACTTACTAATTCAGCTTCAAGGGCAAAGGCTCTGAACATCTGTATACTGTCTTGTTCATTGCATGGAGACTTAGGATCATACACAATGCTGAAAGAGACAATTGTTATTCAACATCAGGTCAAAAATAGTCTTGCCCTGCAAAAGGTGACATAACTTAAAACTGAATGGAGTCATTTAAAATACACCTTACCATGCTTAGTGGTCTAACTCAGCTTTTGGGGGTTTGAGGACAGATAATTACTTGCAGGAAAAATAGTGTTAGTGTTGATTACCATTGTTTGAAATTTCTCAATTATCCTATATTTATGTGAAATAACTACAGAATGTATTCAGAGAGAAAACAGTTGACTAGCAGTCGTCTTACCAAGTTGCGTCTATTTTTAGTCAATATTCAAACTGGGATCGAGTGTCCTTTTTTTGTTAACCCTTGTTGAAAGTAATATTTTCAAGTCAGATAGAAATCAGATGTGAAAAATAAATAAGAGAATTGCAATTCTGATCTTGTTCATATTTATCTTTAAACAATATACATGAGCACACCTGAGCAAAAATGATTACTTATTCGGTCAGTAGTATACAAAGTAGATACCATATATAGCAAGTATCTAAAAAAGAGGCTAAAAAGGCTAAAAAGATCGATAATCAGAATTATCGTTGATGAGATGAAATTAGTAACAATTATCGATATGAAATTGTTGTCATCAATAATAACTTACATAAACTATGGTGAAAAAAAGTTTAGATATACCGAAACAGAGTTGTTATTGTCAATAATGTCAATTGTCAAAGACCAGAAAGCAACTGTTTTCGTTATATCTCAATTGTCAACGAAGTAATCCATGCATAAATGTGTCACTGCTCACCAGTGCTGAATATGTTGATGTCTTTCAGGACTTTCTTGCATATTTGCTAAAGTTACTTCTCCGATATTTATCGATAACTGATCGATATTTAGTTTGCGATTACCACCGATCTCTATAGATATAACCGTATACTGGTATATCGATAGCCAGTCCTGGTGAATATATCTTCATTTATTAATAACTAGCTGTAACACTAGGCCAACTCACTCATGGAAGAATATTGCCAACGCGACTGCGTTGCAGTTCATTAATCGTTGATTCCAACTGTCGTAGAGCACAAACATGTCTGCAATGTGGTCAAGTGTGTGATAATGCCGCTGTACTTCTGTATATTTCTGTACAAGAGTTGTCCACCATTTGTCTGCTATTTGTGGACTAACGCGAATGCCTTGACGAGTAGTTGTCATTGCGTGTAGAAACCCGCTCTTGGGGTGCGTCTCAAGTTTTTCAAAAGTCCCGCAAAATTAAGTTCATTCACTTCCCTGTTCGTAATCGTACTCTATTGCGTGGTCCGATGTTCCGTGAAGTGGTCGACCAATGAAGCTATTGAATGGTGCACCAGACACGGGGCTTCAATGATGACTACTGTGGGGACGTTAACGTTACATTGAAGTACGACCAGCCGGAAACAGCATGTGAGGAAGTGGCAATCAGCTGGTGACAGCTAAATTTAGGTTGTCCCGCGAAGTCTGACTTTAAAGTTTTGATGGAGCAATTACTAGGGTTGTGATGGCGGTCCGAATTATACATGAAACGACATATCTCGTATCATCAGTCATTCGACGACGACAACTTTAGCTACTTGCCAGTGAACAGGTGAAGGGGGTATATCAGAATATATCGAGTCCATGCTGGAGCAACTTAGTACGCCTTCAGATATTCCCAGCAATGATGCTATTTACACCAGGCAGATTCTAACACAGTACTGTTTCACCAAGTACCGTTTTTGACAATTTCGTGTCATTCTAATGCAGTACCATTTTAGCTATAACCCTGTTGAAATAATTTGTGACGTGGAGATCCGGGTTATAATTGATCTTCAGCAAATCATGCTTGCGATTAATGGGATCGGGTGATCAGGCTCGACTTTGTTGATGCATGTCATCGTATCCCAATTGCGTGGATTGATGCATGTCATCGTATCCCAATTGCGTGGATTGATGCAGCATGATGTCAATCACTGGATTGTCTGGCCCAAACTTGATTATTAACAGACCTCCCTCATATAGCTGAATGCGGCGTTAAACAACAAACAAATAAATAAACAAAGAACCTGAAATAATTTGTTTATGTGTATACATGTCGTGTATTGTATTATTTAGTTAAGAGGGGTCCAGACTCACAAGTTTTATTATTTGGGTTTTTTTACAGACCGCCATCATTTAGCTGGAATATTGGTGAGTGCGGCATTAACCAAACAACAAACAAAAACAAACAAATCAAACTTGCTGGGATTTTCAGTTGGCCTAGTTGGGTCTTCAACAAGTCATCACACATGTGAATCATCTCGGCTGTATTGCAGATGCTAACCCTTAGAGCTGGATGTCCCCAGGCGGCTAAAGACTGAACCACCCGCCATGACCGTGGTGTGTAAGACCAAGATGGGCTGGTTCATTGACCATCTGCTGGCAGTGGACGGGGCCTATACGGGCCACCAGACCACCACGCACTACAGCCTCAAGTCAGCCATGTTTGATATGCAGTGTCCCTTCATGATGGATTCCCAGTTTGAGAAGTGGCACAAGCTCCAGGAGACGCAGCAGACTCCACAGACAAAGAAGAGAAAGGTGCAGTAACTTCTACTAAACCATTTTAAACCAACTTAAGAATAATCAGTGTGAACGCCATGCTTAAACTCACCAGCCAACCTCCACCCCAACTGTTAACTACTGCACAGATTATCCAGATCTGCAGGTTCGATCACACATGTTCCTCAAGTTCCTTCCCAGCGTGTGACACCTTCGTTACACTCTCAATAACATCGCTGCCACCAGTGTGGGAGCGGCCATTACAAGAATCTTGAAATTTGCCCTCTAACCCCAAACGTAGTAACGTTTATACTTTTGTTTATGTCTTTGGGAATGCCAATACAGTTATTTTTTAAAAGGTTTACGACTGACCCATTTCCCAGATGAATTTAACTTTTAGTTTGTTTGATCAGATTGGTTAGAGATTGCAGACGAACAGAAAATCACTCAAATTCCCCCTTACATTCTTACTATACCAATTACATGATAGTAGAAATGAAATAGAAATTCAAATTGACAAACAAAGAAAACAATTTAGTTAGGGTAAGAGTATTCAGCGTCAACAACAGTCATCATTTGTTTTTAAGCTTAACGGTCCGTCGGTTGGAGTTCAACTCCAAGCATGGTTGGGGCCACCTATCACAGTGGGAAGTTTTGACTGGTGGCAGCGATAGTATAGAGAGCTCCGCGAATGAGCTATCGCTGTGAGGAGCTTGACGTGTTCCTGAGGCAAGGGAGTTAATTCAATATATAAGTCCAGTTTCCACTCTTACCAAACTAGGCTGGAATTTCCAGCTCGATCCTAGCGCCACCAGTGGCTATTACAAGTTAAGTCCCTTCTATGTCCCTGCTATTGACCAATCAGATTCCATCTCTCATATCACATGTATTTACTTAAAACAAAATGCGGTGCCAAGTCAAGGCGTTCTGATCGATAATCTATATTGTAATAAAACGGGTCTTATCCCGTGAAGTGCATAAAATCACTTGAGCACTTTAATTAAAAACATGGCAGTACACATGCTTTGCAAATCCTGCATTTGACCGAAATCTGCACATTTAAACCCATGTTGTTTACGAACAGGATGTCCAGTTTGTTACACGATTTTGATTGGGCTATGCATAGACATGTGAGTCGAGCCAAAATGTAACTCCAGCCTAGTTCTACAAGGGTGGAAACTCAACTTTTATAATAACTTAACGCCCTTACCTCAGGAAGATGGTTCAATCATTGTCAAGCATGATGTTCTTAAGTTGCAACAATGGAAAAATATCAATATTTATATCAACTCTTATGTTACCATGGTTACTGATACATGTAAGAATAGACCCGTGAAGATTCTGGGGTAGAATAGGCCTTCAGCAACCCATGCTTGCCGTAAAAGGTGACTATGCTTGTCGTAAAAGGCGACTAACGGGATCTGGTGGTCAGGCTCGCTGACTTGGTTGATGCATGTCATCGATCCCAATTGCGTGGGTCGATGCTCATGATATCAATCACTGGATTGTCTGGTCCAGACTCGATTATTTACAGACCGTATCATATAGCTGGAATATTGCTGAGTGCGGCGTTAAACAACAAACCATCCAAACCATCCAATGTAAGAATACATATTGAGTTTGTAACACCGAGATGTAACGTTGAGTAAACACAATTGAAAGAAGTATCTCTCAATGATTGCAGCGGAGGATACCAGACATGAGCGGTGGCGGTGATACTAGCGAATTAAAAGAGGTTTGTACTTCCTGATCAAGTGATGTTGTGTCCAGTCTTTGTGTCATCAGTTTCAGCGAGGTTTGTCAGTGATTTATCTGGACCTGCTCCAAGTCTGCAGCAAATGTCCTTAAAAATTCCCAAATTGGAATTAAGAAATTCCAAATTTCTTAAACCTTTCCTATCTTACACTATGCATTTCACGCTATGGTCTTTTATGACACAAGGCAGTGTTTTAGATATTATATTTATTTCACTGTTTAGCACCAGCTTCCTTGTGTATGTCTCACGGATGTAGTCACGAGGGTATCTTTGCTAAACCATCCAACCATGGGATAAGTGCATAGTGTGAGATAGGATAGTTTAAAAATTTGATTTTTTTAATAATAAATTGTATACCGTTTTAGACGTAATAAGCGCCCCGCTCTAATAAGCACCCACAGCAACATTTGCTAATATATTGGCGAGTGAACGATCCCAATTAGCACCCCTTCCGATTGATCAATGTACACAAGACTTATTTATTGGTGTATAATATGCACTCGTGTGTTATATGCACCCTTAATTATGGGCAATTAAATTCTGGAAAAATATATAAACACTTCAGGCTGACAGCATAAACCACGAAATTTATCTTTCAAGTCTGTTTTTTTTTTCACCAAAATAATATTCTAATAAGAGCCCGCTATTTCTCATTTTGAGAGCGCCCTGGGCGCTTATTACGTCGAATACAGTATTTATATATTTATCCTAACTCACACTTTATATGCCCTCCCAACCATATCGGGGGCACGGGTGGCCCAGTTGTCTAAGGCGTGATTGGCTGTGCAGAGTTGCGTCCCTTGGGCACGCCAGAAACCTATGATTGTGGGTTCGAATCCAGGTTCACCCCAATTATGTTTCTAGGTTTGTCAGCACCATACCTGTGCTCGTGGGTTTCACCGAAGTGGTAAACATCTGAGACCTGCATCACTTCGGGCTTTCCTCCCACATCAAGCTGACACGCCGTGATATAACTGGAATACTGTTAAAAGTGGCGTTAAACCAAACTCACTCTCTCACACCCAACCATATCACGTCTCCTCTAGTCTGTTAATTCTGGTGAAAGAGAATAATGTGACATGAGAAATCACGTGATCTGGTCGTGTAGGTCGTTATGCATGGGATTACAGTGCGTTACCTATTTGTTTTGGTGGGGACGATGGTGATGCTGGGATGTGTTCGGGTATATTGTTTTTTAGAGGGAAATGTCTGAATTGTATCAAAGTGGATCTTTTATATATTCATATCAAAACCAGGAATCGTCATTGTTCTCAGATGAGTATATAATCTGATTACCAAATCATTTCCAGTGTAATTTAAGAAATACAGGTAAGGTCCAGGGTGCCGTTGTACAGAGGGATCTTAGCGCTAAGGTGATCGTAACTCCCATACCATAACATAGACTTACGACAGTCGTAGCGCTAAGGTTGTTTTGTACAACGGCATCCAGGTTTTTAGTGTAAACATCTCTGGGGCAGTGTACAGTTGAAGATGAAGCCCTGGCTTGTTCATTAGCATATATTACATTTTGTAATTGAAACAAAATTACCGTATTTGACGTAATAAGCGCCCCGCTCTAATAAGCGCCCAAGGGGATATTTGCTAATATATTTGCTAGTGAACAATCCCAATTAGCACCCCTTCCAATTGGTCAATGTACAAAAGACTTTTTTATTCGCGTATAATACGCACTCGTGTGTTATATGCACCCTTAATTATGGGCAATTAAATTCTGGAAAAATATATCTTAATGAAAGGATCCAAGGGATGTATATAAACATTTCAGGCTTTCAGCATAAACCACGAAATTTATCTTTCAACTCTGTTTTTTTTTCTCACCAAAACAATATTCTAATAAGAGCCCCCTATTTCTAATTTTGAGAGCGCCCTGGGCGCTTATTACGCAAATATGGTATATGGTGCAAAGGATCAAAGTGAGCTACAGTGTCATCTCTCTGTCTTGAAGCTTGTAGAGAGACTGTCATCAGCTCACAAGACACTAGTTGCCGCTGCTCGTCAACACGGACATCTGCTGGAGAGGAAGGTAGTCCCTAGCAACAACAACACTGCTGCCAGACTAGCAGCAAGTCTAGCTGGACCAGGGGATAGGCTGGCTGAGGTGGCCGAGTCATGGTCTAAGGGAGAGAACTCATGGCAGTCTCCACATCTCATCAATGACAGTGGAACAGGTACTCATATTTTAACAGTTCAACAGAAAGCTCCTAGTCTATTGTTTGTAGGAGTTGTCAAGATTGACCAATGGCAGGCTTGTGGATTTGAAGACCTATAATTATCCCCCCCACCCACCATTTTGAAAAACAGGGATATAGCGATGACCATGTCCTTCCATCTGTTTTCTGTTTCTGTTAAGCCGATGAATATTTCTTGTTGACATTTGCTATACAGATAAGCTGGTGCCTTTTAGGGATTTGCAGTTTTTGCTTTTTTATTTTTTTATGTATTCAAAACGACAAGATGACCAATACTGCAAATGAATATTTCTAGTTGTAATAGCTATACAGATCAGTCTCGTGGTGAAAGGGCGCCTTTGGATGATTTGGGATATTGAAAAATACTAAACAGCATTATTTTTTTCTTCACTAAACTGAAGGTATCCAATGAACCAAAAATGGGGTACGGAAAGCCAAATTCCATCTCTGAATTGTACCAGATCGGGGAGTGTGTCATCTCCTGATGTCTTTTATTATCATTGATATTGTTGTTGTTGTTTGCCAACTTGTATTTAACACAACAAATGTGTTTTGATGCTGCTTGGTTGCCCTTCACTTGTCTCAAATGCCGATACTATTTTGTTGCAGTCGTAAGTAAAAATCATGTGATATCAAAGCAGTATCTGATTGGTTTTAAGTGACGAACATACATTTGACAACCATTCACCCATCAAAATCAAGTTTGAAAACACTAAAATCTTGACCAACGTATTGGTGAGAATAGAGTCCGATTCTATTTCCCGCCACCAGTTTGTCAAACTTCACAAACTAGTTTGCATTCTGTTTTAATGTTGAATAAGGTCAAGTCGAGGTTCCTTGCTGGGCAGTGTCAACACTGACATCATTTGTTGATATTGGCCTTTATGTTTCACAGCACTCAGCATGGCAGACGTCTTTCACCGGAGAGTGACATACAAGGGAGATAATCCTGTTGTCATGTGTCTTGATGGTCACCACTACCTAATTCCACCTCGGTCGTCATTCGTCATGTCTGACTTCAACCAGCTGCTGCAGAACTCAAACACTCTACAAGGTCAGGAGGAATAGTTGGAATAGATTTAAAGAATAAAACATTTTGTATGAAAAGTTTGCATTTATTACTTGCCCGTGAAGAGATCACCTATTTAATAAACATACAGCTGTATTACACATTGTGTAATACCAAAGCTCGTACTGCGGGAACAAGTTACACTAATAAACATCGAAAGCTCTCAACATCCCCTGGCTTATTCAATGACATTGCGTGAGGAGATGATAGATCACTGAGAGGAGCTTATGCACACTCAATGACCCCAGCAAATCCGTTGTTAGGCTGACGACACATGGCATTGTTTCGCCCATGGATCTTGCAACAAAATTCATCAAATCACGTCATTCAGTAGTGTGACGTGATTGTAAACTTTGTGGTGCAGGTCATGATCTCAAATGAGTTCAAAAATTGGTGACATTAATTAGGGCCCCTGCTCCTGCTTTTCAACTTAGTGCATCCTGCGTGAAATGGGGAAAGACTTTCTCAGAAACTGCTGAGGTTACATCAATGAAAGTTTGCATGCTTATGTAAGAGTGTGGTGTATTGGCTAAGCAGGCACACAGTGGTGTAGGGGAGGTAACTCTTCACATGCAAGGTGCATCAAACGCATGGAACTTCACGTGCGATACAACACATGTGCTCGCTGGGGTCAGCCATCTTAAATGCTATGCGTGACTAACATTCCTGAATAAACATTTGAACCTGCTCAAGACTTTCAACAAAGAGATACTTTTCAAGACTGAGATATTTTTTGTAGGGAAGGGGCATTTTATGTGTATTAATTTGACATTTAATCCTTTTTTTCTGATGACATAAGATGTCCCAAGTGCCTGTCTCTTCTAAGGGTTTATAGTTTATATTCACTACCATAAGAAACAAAATTGTTATGTGACCCATCAAACACATGGAATGTTGCTGAATGCTGCATTCAACAACATAGAAAAGAAAACACTTCTATGCTGCTACTGCTTTTATACTGTCACTGTCAAATGGTAATAGAATATGCTGTATGGGAGTTTGCCCTTCATTTTTTAAATAAAATGAAAATGATTGTTGCGTTAGTTCCAGGTGGGTATGACTTGATCGTTGTCGACCCTCCGTGGCAGAACAAGTCCGTGAAGAGGAAGAGGAGGTATGGAGTCTTGTCTGTTCCTCAGGGCAACACACACCAGGAATCAGAAATTCACATTATTTAACAATGTTAATGATTCAACAAAACTTTAGTAAGAAAGTGAAAAAAGAAACTAATCAACTCACACGCCTGTATATGCCTCTATAGGCCCCTATAGGCCCGTATAGGCCAATATATATGCCCTTATATGCCCCTATATGCCTGTATTTGCCCCTATATGCCTGTATTTGCCCCTATAGGCCTGTATATGCCCCTATATGCCTGTATTTGCCCCTATATGCCTGTATTTGCCCCTATATGACCTTATATGCCTGTATTTGCCCCTATAGGCCAGTATATGCCCGTATATGCCCCTATATGCCTGTATATGCCCCTATATGCTCATATATGCCCGTATATGACCCTATATGCCTGTATATGCCCGTATGTGACCCTATATGCCTGTATATGCCCCTATATGCCTGTATATGCCCCTATATGCCTGTATTGGCCCCTATATGCCAGTATATGACCCTATATGCCTGTATATGCCCGTATATGCCTGTATTTGCCCGTATATGCTCGTATATGCCCCTTTATGCCCCTATATGCCCCTACATGACCCTACATGCCTGTATATGCCCGTATATGCCTGCATATGCCCGTAGATGTCCCTATATACCTGTATTTGCCCCTATATGCCCGTATATGCCTGTATATGCCCGTATATGACCCTACATGACCCTACATGCCTGTATATGCCCGTAGATGTCCCTATATACCTGTATTTGCCCCTATATGCCCGTATATGACCCTACATGCCCGTATATGCCCCTATATGCCTGTATTTGCCCCTATATGCCTGTATTTGCCCCTATATGACCTTATATGCCTGTATTTGCCCCTATAGGCCAGTATATGCCCGTATATGCCCCTATATGCCTGTATATGCCCCTATATGCTCATATATGCCCGTATATGACCCTATATGCCTGTATATGCCCGTATGTGACCCTATATGCCTGTATATGCCCCTATATGCCTGTATATGCCCCTATATGCCTGTATTGGCCCCTATATGCCAGTATATGACCCTATATGCCTGTATATGCCCGTATATGCCTGTATTTGCCCGTATATGCTCGTATATGCCCCTTTATGCCCCTATATGCCCCTACATGACCCTACATGCCTGTATATGCCCGTATATGCCTGCATATGCCCGTAGATGTCCCTATATACCTGTATTTGCCCCTATATGCCCGTATATGCCTGTATATGCCCGTATATGACCCTACATGACCCTACATGCCTGTATATGCCCGTAGATGTCCCTATATACCTGTATTTGCCCCTATATGCCCGTATATGACCCTACATGCCCGTATATGCCCCTATATGCCCCTATATGCCCCTATATGCCCCTATATGCCCCTATCTGCTCCTATCTGCCCGTACAGAATCACCATCAAATGTAAACATTGGGCCAAGATAGTCTGGGCCTACATTCCTGAGTGTTGTCCCACATCTCAGTTGGGAGACTGGAAAAGGGGCCCACTACTAAGGTCTAGCATCCACATGACACAGTGACCTAATGACTTCAGGAAGCTTGAAATATCAACAATGCTTTAAGGAATTGAACTCATGACAAGTTAGATTATTATGATTTTTACTCGCTCAATCACTCTCATAATCACAGACTCTTTCTCACTCACTCTGTCACTCACTCACTCACTCACTCACTCACTCACTCGTTCTGTCACCAGCTACTACAGTCTGTCACTCATTCTGTCACCAGCTACTACAGTCTGTCACTCATTCTGTCACCAGCTACTACAGTCTGTCACTCGTTCTGTCACCAGCTACTACAGTCTGTCACTCATTCTGTCACCAGCTACTACAGTCTGTCACTCGTTCTGTCACCAGCTACTACAGTCTGGAAGAGGAATCCCTGCTTCGGCTGCCAGTAGCTGACTTGGCCTCACCCTCCTGTCTCATTGTCACGTGGGTCACAAACAAGCCACGCCTTACTTCATTTGTACAAGACCAACTGCTGCCACATTGGGGCGTCCAGCAGGTCATGCAGTGGCACTGGGTGAAGGTAAGGACATCAGATCCCTGGCCTACTGGTCACATCAGACACCTGGCCTACTGGTCACATCAGACACCTGGCTTACTGGTCACATCAGACACCTGACCAACTGGTCACATCAGACACCTGGCTTACTGGTCACATCAGACACCTGGCCAACATCACATCAGACACCTGACCAACTGGTCACATCAGGCACCTGACCAACTGGTCACATCAGGCACCTGACCAACTGGTCACATCAGACACCTGGCCAACTGGTCACATCAGACACCTGACCAACTGGTCACATCAGACACCTGGCTTACTGGTCACATCAGACACCTGACCAACTGGTCACATCAGACACCTGGCTTACTGGTCACATCAGACACCTGGCCAACATCACATCAGACACCTGACCAACTGGTCACATCAGGCACCTGACCAACTGGTCACATCAGACACCTGGCTTACTGGTCACATCAGACCCCTGGCCAACTGGTCACATCAGACACCTACCCATGAAGATCCCAGGTAGAATAGGTCTTCAGCAGTCCATGCTTGTCGTAAGAGATGACTAACAGTATCTGGTGACCAGGCTGGCTGACTTGGTTGATGCATGTCATCGTATCCCAATTGCATGTATTGATTCTTATGATTTCAATCACTGGATTGTCTGGTCCAGACCCAATTATTTACAGACCACCGTCATATAGCTGGAATATTGCTGAGGATGGCGTTAAACATCAAATAGACAGACAAACATCAGACACCTGACTAACGGGTCGCATGGGTCGCATTAGAAACATATTGTACAGTGCAGCTAGTTCTAGGAGAGGTACAGGACATTGCCTCGTCTGTGGTTACAGGTGACAGTGGATGGGACCATGGTCTGTGATATTGCCTCCCCAACAAAGAAACCGTACGAAACTCTGCTCCTCGGTCGATTGGTGAGGAAGGGAGGGGAGACAACTCAGGAGAAACAGGGTCCACCAGTAACTTCAGGACACAGCTCAAGTTTTGTGGAGTCTCTCTCTGTGAAGGGTGTTAGCTCAACTCATCATGATCAACACACATCCGTCCCAGTCACGTTAAGGGCAGACAACTCAAATACGTCAGACCAGGACCTGTTGGCTACATCAAGAGCAAATGACTCTGATGTGATTGACCAGTACGTTGCCAAAGTCAAGGAATATGACAGCTCAAGTCTTCTGCAGTCATCAAAGGGTAACAACTCTCATGTTACCCATGGTTACTTATCAGAGGGTAACGTTTCAGATCTGCCAGACAATCGTGTGATCCTCAGTGTGCCTTGCAGTCTTCACTCCAAGAAACCCCCACTTCAAGGTCAGCAGCCATGATTGAAGTCAGTTTAATGAATTGTTGATAAGTGATGCACCCTGTTATAGATTCAGGGGGCACGGGTGGCCATGTCGTCTAAGGTGCCGCGATTCGCTGTGCAGAGTTGCACGCCAGAAACCTATGATTGTGGGTTCCAATCCCGGTTCGCCCCGATTATGTTTCTAGGTTTGTCAGCACCATACCCGTGCTCGTGGGTTTCGCCGAAGTGGTAAACGTCTGAGACCTGCATCACTTCGGGCTTTCCTCCCACATTAAGCCTTCATGCTGTGATATAACTGGAATAATGTTAAAAGCGGCGTTAAACCCAACTCACTCACTCACTCACTCACAATGTTACAGATTCACGTTATAATGGTTTCTCCTCAGTGAACCTCAGCATCCATCTATGCATTACTTGATTGTAACATGAACACTCTGACCTCAGGATCCACACTTGTTATCCCCTCAACATGGAGACTTATCACCTGCCCTGGCATCATCTTAGAACAAATTATACAATTACATGCTTAGTGCTTGCTATTGATGTAGATCTTAGAGATCAATAATCGTTAACTAAATATCGCTCAATTATCGATAAATATCGGAGAAGTTACTTTCAGCAAATTATACAGAAAGCTCAGAGACAATATTATATTTCACGTCAGTGGTGACACATTAATGCATGGATTACTGGTGGACATTTAAGGTATAAAAAAGTCAGTTGCTTTCCATCTTTGGCAGTGGACAAAAACAAGTCTGCTTCGGTAACTTAAAAATATATTTCATCACAATAGTTAATTTAAGATATTATCAATGACACGATCTTCATCTCGATTATCGTTAATAATTTTCCCATCAACGATAATTCTGATTATCGATCATTTCAGCCAGCCCTTGACATTCTAGAATTTAAACATTCAACCCCCTGAAAATATTGGACACAGACGTAACCACATCATCCAATTCTTCCATGGTCAGCAGAGAGTGTATTTTGTCATTGTAGAATGGAGATACCAATTGTCATTTCAATTTGAACACAGATGTGATACTTTTAACTTGTTGGAATCTGAGACAGTGGGTTGAATTTATCTCCTAATTGTAAAATACGTTATCATTAGAACTGAAGCATGTGACATGTAAGTGATTATTACCTGTATTCTGTGTATTGTGGCAGATGTCCTGGCGCAGTACCTACCGCCAACACCAGCATGTCTGGAGCTGTTTGCCCGGAACTTGTGGCCAGATTGGGTCAGCTGGGGACATGAAGTGAGTTACCTCCCTTTGTAAAGCACCTGTCAATGTCTCTCCATTGTTTATTTCAATAATAGCTGTACTTGTGATAGCTTGACCAACCATTTACAATAAGAACATTTACCTATATTGCCCCCAGATTTAATCCGAGAAACATCAACATGTGTCCTTGACCTTGTACTATATGTACTGTCAGTTTGTTCTGAAGGGGTGTTTGTTGTATGAGGTAGTACATAATCTACCTGAGGTAGAACTCAGGATACAGAAATGTACTTTACCATGCAGTGCTAACAATGGGCATGTCAACCACCATTCTGAAACAGGGCATCGGGTAGCCTAGTGGTTAAAGCGTTCGCTTGTCACTCCGAAGACCGGGGTTCGATTCCCGACATGGGTACAATGTGTGAAGCCCATTTCTGGTGTCCCCCGCCGTGATATTGCTGGAAAATTGCTAAAAGCGGCGTAAAACCATACTCACTCACTCAGCCATTCTGAAACCGGTTTAGTATTTAACAAACTCACGTTGTCCGCATGGATTTCCTTTCTGAGAAAGATAGCAACCCCACACTCAATAATATTTATGATTTATTACAAACTAGAATTGATCTTGTACATATTTAGGACTACGTCTGTGAAAACAAAGAAAATAAACAAAGAATTAGCGAATGCAGAATTTCCACAAACTTATTAGTTCCTCCTGCTTCACTAATGCCATTCTGTCTTTCCGCCATTTTGTCTATGAACCGGGAAAATGTGGCATGGTAGGCTGGTCTGGTATCAGATGGAATGGGCTTGCCCACAGTGTTGGCACTGAGGGGTAGAATACATTTCTGGTTAGGCTGGGACGGGTAACTTGGGTGCTCGGGTTTGGTGGGTTCTGAGTAGGACCAAGGTACCCACACAACTACCCGGACCCGTGGTTAGTCACGTGATATTTTGTTTAATGATGATAACTGTCAAACCTCATGGTTACACAACAAGTCGCTAAACGTTCGCATTTCTTTTTGACTATGCACGCATTCCTTCTGACTTTTATTTGTGTGAGTAAAGTTAACGTTTCTGTCAACTTCAGTGTGGCATGACCAGATTGTTTTATGTGTGTATCTAAGCACCTTTTGCCAGGACTTGAGACCTACAGCAAGTACCCGGGTCGGGTAATAGGCGATCGGGTACCTGGGTAGTAAATTTGGACTCGTTTCGGCCCTAATTTCTGTTGACCAAAATTGGACCGGGTAGATTTCTGAATACAAAAAACAACCTGGCCCCGATTTCTCGAAACAAGCTTAAGTTTTTACTCAAATCTCAAACTGAGATTGACAAGAAACTCACCTGAGTTTTTAACTCAGAACTTAAGTTTGATCTCAGTTTGTATTTGTATGTGATGTAAGCGGCCTTGGCGCGAGATTTGACTTCCATTCCAATGTAAACACGGAAGTGCGTCATCTTACGTTTTATCGTCTGCTGACATATCAGCGATGGCTGAAACAAGACTTCTATATACTACCTGATACGACAAGACTCCTCAGCCTCACTATGGTGACACCCAAACAGTGTGATGACTGGCACTGTGGTTATTGATAGGTTTTGGTTTGGGTTCTTTTGATCTATTATCAGGTTAACACCAGTAAAATCGCCTGGATGTTTAGCTGTAGAGAGGAGTTGCCTCCCTTGCACAGTGCATCAATGTTCGATGAATGATACTTGCGGCAAATATTGAGACCATGTATTTATCATTTTGAGGAGGAAGGGGCAGGGAGATAATAATAATGATGGTAGGAGGAGAGTTCGGGGAGGGTCGTGGAATTAAATCACACAATTATGGGTGGTTAAATAAAAGGTGGCTTGTTATGTTTCTATTGAAATGTTTATTACGTTCAAGTGGTTTTGGTAAGGATTACCAAAAATTAGTATAATAAAGAAATACAAGTTAAAAATATGACAAGTCATTTCATGAGTCGGCCAAAATATCATTGTAAGAGTGATGACATGTAGGAGAGATGACATGTAGGAGTGATGACATGTAGGAATCGGTCTCAGAAGAATTCTGTAGTCAAATTATCAAAATTCTGCAGTAAATTCTCAAAAATTAATACAAACTCAATTTTCAAAAACTCAAATCTGAAACGAAATGATACTACAAACTGTCATTATAAACAACTATCATGACACATAAAATCATGCAAATATGCATAGTGTCACTGATATTTATTTATGGTTAGATATAAACATACTTTATATAGTCATAATAACATAACATTGTTTAAAAGTGAAAATTTGGTTTTATTGTAGGATTCATATTTTGTATGTTTGAATTGCTTGTTAAATGTTTCGGCATATTTAAGTGCAAAATTTGATAGATAAACATGAAAACTAGTGTGTTGATTGATGCTAAGAGGCAAATTTCGCAATATTTCTGCAAGTTGCAGAAAATGTATCCGTGATTGCAGAATCGCAAAATTTGTCTATTGACTAATGAGTGATGGCATGTATGTTCCTCCTAGGTACTGAAGCATCAGCACTTGGACTACTTTGAGGAGAAGACCTAGACCGTGTCTTAAAGGGGTATTCCACACAGACAACATGGCTGGTCCCAGTGACTGGCAGCTCAGGAGCCCATGTCCTAAAGGGACGTTCCACAGACAACATGGCTGGCACCAGTGACTGGCAGGTTAGGACCCATGTCTTAAAGGGACATTCCACACAGACAACATGGCTGGTCCCAGTGACTGGCAGCTCAGGAGCCCATGTATTAACGGGACATTCCACACGGACACCATGGCTGGTCCCAGTGACTGACAGCCAAGGATTCATGTCTCAAAGGGACATTCCACACAGACAACATGGCTGGTCCCAGTGACTGACAGCCAAGGATCCATGTCTTAAAGGGGCGTTCCACACACACAACATGGCTGGTCCAAGTGACTAAGAGCTTTGGAGCCCATGTGTTAAAGTCTGGTTTAGTGAATGTGATCAACTGGAGCTCCAACAGGTTGTGAACTAGCTGGCAAGGTGACAGCTGGTTGGCAAGGTGACAGGTGGTTGGCAAGGTGATAGATAGTTGGCAAGGTGATAGATAGTTGGCAAGGTGACAGGTGGTTGGCAAGGTGATAGATGGTTGGCAAGGTGATAGATGGTTGGCAAGGTGACAGGTGGTTGGCAAGGTGACAGGTGGTTTTCTAGATGACCAGCAGTCCACACACCTTCCTATGACGATGGGCAGCAATGGATGCAGGATTGTGTTACTAAACTGAGAGGACATGACTGAGGTTGTGATGGCTGCATGGTGACATTATCACACATTATCACACAGACACAGCATGACAGTAGTTCCAAGTAGTGCACCACACCAGTCCCATGATGACATATATAGTGATGAGTGTGTGATAATACAAATGGCCTGTTTACAAACCACTCATCCCACATCCCTGAGGGACATCAATATGGCTGGGATGAATCTGTTCGTCCACCCAGTCGTCTGTGCTGTGTGTAGGGAGACCCAGTCGGGAATATGTTCCAACTACAAGAAGATATTTTAAGTGCCGTTGTACAAAACAACCTTAGCACTACGATTGTCGTAAGTCTATGTTAAGGTATGGGTGTTACAATTACCTTAGCGCTAAGATCTGTCTGTACAACAGTACCCTGGACTGATCCTCTGTGCCACTGACTACTGTTACAGACACTGCCAAGTAGCAATATGTCTGACATTCACTGGAGTTGTTCCTCGCAGACTTTCAGCAATATCGACAGGAACACAGTGAGGTGAGGTGAGGTGAGGTGAGGTGAGGTGAGGTGAAATGGGGTTGCACTTATATAGCGACGTGCATGCACGTGTGTGTGTGTGGCTGCTTGTACTAGTCCAGACTGATGCCGATTTATAGTGCTAGCTCACTGAGATACCATGCCGCAGTTTAACATGAATACCCCACTCAGACACAGTATACTGATTCCGAGACGACCAGTCCTTGTTTTAGCTCCTTAATGCCGAGCGCCAGACAGGGTAACAACAAGTACCACCTTTTAACGTCTTTTGGTATGACGCGGCCGAGGATCGAAGCCTGGACCTTCCGCTCTCCGGGCGGGCGCTCTACCACTAGACCACGGAGGCGGTCAAGGAACACAGTGAATGGAGTAAAGGGCTTCATGTTGTGACGAGCGTCTCACAGCAACAGATGAGATTGTGCTGCAGTTAGATGACGCATGGCTGAATGGAATAAAGATAATACAGAGACTGATCACAGTGTTTGATTTATCCTGTCTTTCTTTTATAATGCTTATTCAGACATAATGTGAAAAACATTATCTTTGACACCCTTGAAGATCCGGGTTAGAATAGGTCTTCTGCAACCCATACTTGCCATAAAAGTGATTATGCTTTTCGATGAGGTGTCTAAAGGGATTGGGTAGTCAGGCTCGCTGATTTAGTTGATGCATGTCATCGTATCTCAATTGTGTAGAACGAAGCTCATGATGTCAATCACTGAATTGTCTGGCCCAGACTCGATTATTTACAGACCGCAGTAATATACCTGGAAATGCTGCTGACGGCAGTCATATACCTGGAATATTGTTGCGTGCGGCAGTCATATACCTGGAATATTGCTGCGTGTGGCAGTCATATACCTGGAATATTGCTCAGCGCGGCAGTCATATACCTGGAATATTGCTGCGTGCGGCAGTCATATACCTGGAATATTGCTGCGTGCGGCAGTCATATACCTGGAATATTGCTGCGTGCGGCGTTAAGCAACAAACAAACAAACGAAACATTCTATTTGATTGAACATGACCAAAACTGTTCATTTTTCTTGATTGTTATTTAAGTTCTTCCCATGAGGTGGTTTGGTTGTTGTTTTCAGTAGGCTACCAATGGCCGTCTACATCGTGAATGTGTGTGTTGGGTTTAATGCCGCTAAGAACGGTGTTTCAGTTTCATGCCAAAGTAACTCTCCAAGGGTCACAGGTCATAGATATTTACCACTTTGCTGACAAAGGGTCAGAATAAGGGATTCAAACTCACAATCTGTATATATACCAGCAGCCAAGGGAAGCCACTCTGCACAGAAAGTGACTGCACCTTTGAAGAACACTACCACTGAGTCCTGGAATGTAGCAACATTGTGGGACATGGCTGGCTGTATATTGTGGTGCTTTCAAAGTCTGCCTTGCCTGGTCCTGACCTCGTCATTTACAGGCCATGGGGATAGCTCACTCACTCACTCGGCACTACCACTGCTCCTGTCCTAACGTGTGTTTGTTGTTTAACACCGCACTAAGCAATATTTCAGCTATATGACGGCGGTCTTGAAATAATCAAGACTGGACCAGACAATCCAGTGATTGACATCATGAGGTATATCACAGGTCATATGTTGGTCTGAACCAGTGTTCAGTGAACTGTCAGAGACTATCCCTGTTGTCTGGGGGCAGTGTTCAGTGAACTGTCAGAGACTATCTCTGTTGTCTAGGGACAGTGTTCAGTGAACTGTCAGAGACTATCTCTGTTGTCTGGGGGCATTGTTCAGTGAACTGTCAGAGACTATCTCTGTTGTCTGGGGACAGTGTTCAGTGAACTGTCAGAGACTATCTCTGTTGTCTAGGGGCAGTGTTCAGTGAACTGTCAGACTATCTCTGTTGTCTAGGGGCAGTGTTCAGTGAACTGTCAGACTATCTCTGTTGTCTGGGGGCAGTTTTCAGTGAACTGTCAGAGACTATCTCTGTTGTCTAGGGACAGTGTTCAGTGAACTGTCAGAGACTATCTCTGTTGTCTAGGGACAGTGTTCAGTGAACTGTCAGAGACTATCTCTGTTGTCTGGGGACAGTGTTCAGTGAACTGTCAGAGACTATCTCTGTTGTCTGGGGGCAGTGTTCAGTGAACTGTCAGAGACTATCTCTGTTGTCTGGGGACAGTGTTCAGTGAACTGTCAGAGACTATCTCTGTTGTCTGGGGGCAGTTTTCAGTGCATACCAGGCAGACCCTTGACTTTATTCTATCTTGTCCAAACGATTGAGTAACTTTCATCAGGACATTAGGTAAAACGCAAAATCAGTTGTGCAAAGTGTCCACATCAGTTTTATGAAACCTCCATAACCACGGCAACAATAATGACTTCACTGACTGGTTATTTAATTATAAACACACAAAAATTACGACAACTGAACGAAATCTGTGACATCATTTAGCACAACAATGAACACAAGTCCTGCCCATTCTGTAATCAGCCAATCAGGAAACAATAGCCTGTTAGTGGTCAAGTCCTGATTTAAACAAAATTGTTGGTTAGCCAATCAAATGCCATGAGATCACTTGCAATTTATTTATACCCTAAACTACCGGTAGTAATACTACCTGCTGGGATGTGGTATTTAACAGCTAGCCCTGACTAGCGCATTAACCAGCCGGCTGTTTTCATAGGTTGAGGTTCCATGGCTCCATAAGGATCAAATCATCAGCTTCTATGAGATTTACCAGATTACATTGATGGAGTTGGGGACATGGCTGGCCAATGTAGTCAGAGCCTGCTGATTTCCTGGCGTGATGTCCCAGCTTCAGTGCCATGTGGCCTGCTCATTAACTGTGGTGTGTAAACAGCAATCCCCATGACACTGTTTAAGTGGCAGTAATAGATGTCCGTCTATATGTGTAGAGATTATACAGTCAGTGTCCAGTTACTTACCGCCCTATGTAGGTGTGACTCGCTGTTATCGTAAAGCCTGGTGCAGTCAAACTCTTAGTTGCGTGTTGGATTTGTGGGCAGATTCGCTGATATGTCATTTATGGTGTGGGCTTTTAACCAACATTGATTAATAAAAGCAAACTTGTTCCGTTTTGGTGTTATGCTTTTTCACTAGTAGTGTGACCCATGAAGATCCGGGGTAGAATAGGTCTTCAGCAACCCATGCTTGTTGTAAAAGGCGACTATGATTGTTGTAAGAGGTGACTAATGAAATCAGTTGGTCAAACTCGCTGACTTGGTTGATGCATGTCATTGTATACCAGTTATGTAGATTCATGATCATGATGTCAGTCACTGGATTGTCGGGTCCAGACTCGATTATTTACAGACTGCCGTCATATAGCTGGAATTTTGCTGAGTGCAGCGTTAAACAACAAACAAACAAACAAACACTAGCTGTGCCAGTATACAGCGTTCTTTTAAATCCCAATGTTCCTTTGTTGGTACTGTACCCAGAATTGATTTCAGAAAGCATCCTTCACTAGTGGTAGCCACATCCATTGATTTCCCGTATCTTATGACCTTCACTAGTATTGATTCTCTTTAACAAGGCCATTATGTTGATATGTCATAAAATACATTGACATATTTCATACCTCCCTCAACACCTGCTTCCAGACAACCTGCTGCCACACACCCTGTGTAGAGGGCACACGGACAACCTGCTGCCACACACCCTGTGTAGAGGGCACGCGGACAACCTGCTGCCACACACCCTGTGAAGAGGGGCACACGGACAACCTGCTGCCACACACCCTGTGTCGAGGGCACACGGACAACCTGCTGCCACACACCCTGTGTAGAGGGGCACACGGACAACCTGCTGCCACACACCCTGTGTAGAGGGGCACACGGACAACCTGCTGCCACACACCCTGTGTAGAGGGGCACACGGACAACCTGCTGCCACACACCCTGTGTAGAGGGGCACACGGACAACCTGCTGCCACACACCCTGTGTAGAGGGGCACACGGACAACCTGCTGCCACACACCCTGTGTAAAGGGCACGCGGACAACCTGCTGCCACACACCCTGTGTAGAGGGCACACGGACAACCTGCTGCCACACACCCTGTGTAAAGGGCACGCGGACAACCTGCTGCCACACACCCTGTGTAGAGGGCACGCGGACAACCTGCTGCCACACACCCTGTGTAGAGGGCATGCAGACAACCTGCTGCCACACACCCTGTGAAGAGGGGCACACGGACAACCTGCTGCCACACACCCTGTGTAGAGGGCACACGGACAACCTGCTGCCACACACCCTGTGTAGAGGGGCACACGGACAACCTGCTGCCACACACCCTGTGTAGAGGGGCACACGGACAACCTGCTGCCACACACCCTGTGTAAAGGGCACGCGGACAACCTGCTGCCACACACCCTGTGTAGAGGGCACACGGACAACCTGCTGCCACACACCCTGTGTAAAGGGCACGCGGACAACCTGCTGCCACACACCCTGTGTAGAGGGCACGCGGACAACCTGCTGCCACACACCCTGTGTAGAGGGCATGCAGACAACCTGCTGCCACACACCCTGTGAAGAGGGGCACACGGACAACCTGCTGCCACACACCCTGTGTAGAGGGCACACGGACAACCTGCTGCCACACACCCTGTGTAGAGGACACACGGACAACCTGCTGCTACACACCCTGTGTAGAGGGGCACACAGACAACCTGCTGCCACACACCCTGTGTAGAGGGCACACGGACAACCTGCTGCCACACACCCTGTGTAGAGGACACACGGACAACCTGCTTCCACACACCCTGTGTAGAGGGCACACGGACAACCTGCTGCCACACACCCTGTGTAGAGGACACACGGACAACCTGCTGCCACACACCCTGTGTAGAGGACACACGGACAACCTGCTTCCACACACCCTGTGTAGAGGGCACACGGACAACCTGCTTCCACACACCCTGTGTAGAGGGGCACACGGACAACCTGCTGCCACACACCCTGTGTAGAGGGGACATGGACAACCTGCTTCCACACACCCTGTGTAGAGGGCACACGGACAACCTGCTGCCACACACCCTGTGT